TTACTCTCTTCCTCCCTCCCTCCAGAGGCGAGCTCTGGAGGTCGGAGTCAGAGCTCTGGCGGTCAGAGTCAGAGCTCAGCTTCCTCTGCTGCAGTCTTCAAATGATTCCAAGTGATCTGGTGGGGGCAGAAGGGGAGGCAGACAGAAAGTTAGTACGTACCGGATTCAGCATTGGGAGAAAAAGAAAGCCGAAGCAAGAAAGAACTGAAAGGACATAATCCGCAGCAGCAGGATGGGTTGGTGAAAAGAGGCTTACCTTAATACGCCAACCCCACCCTAGATACTCTCCCTCATGGCAGCATTCCTCCCAGCTTCCTGTGTGCATGCACCTGCACGGCCACAGGGGAGGGGTGTGGGGGAGTGGCGGTGTTGACCCCCACGCCCCTTCCCTCAACCTGCAAGGGGAAAACTGTAGAGCAGTGAGAAAGCGGCTAGAGGTAGAAGGGTGAGAGGTGTGCGTGGGTGGGGTGGCGAGTTATAGCAGCAAGGGGACCACTGGAGCAGCACTAGGCACATGGTGCAGACCCCAGGGGTTATACATATTAGGGGGGTAGGGGGGGGGGTTTGGAGTGGGGGTACTTAGTAAGTCTGTAGGGTTTAGAAGTAGGCTTAACCTTAGGGTAGGGGGGGGGGGGGGGGATACCCGGAATAAGGGAAGGGGCAGGGTTGAGGCGTCCGGAATAAGGGAAGGTGCGGGGGTGGAATACCCGGAATAAGGGAAGGTGCGGGGGGGAATACCCGGAATAAGGGAAGGTGCGGGGGGGGAATACCCGGAATAAGGGAAGGGGAGGGGGGGGGGGGGGGGATCTTCGGAATAAGGGAACGGGAGGGCGGGGGAGGGGGGCTGTGCCCGACATGGGTTGGGCTGCTGCAAGCGGTTTGATTTGAGCACAGCAGGGCAGCAAAACCAGGATGTGTGAGCGCATGTCAGAGTTGTGCATGAAGTCAAGAAAAGCGAGTGAAAGCAGTCAAAAGGCAAGAGAGAGGGTGTGAGTGTACTTATCTGCTGTGGCTACGTGTGTGCTCCCAGCTGGCACCCCCAGCCCTCTCTGCTTCCCGCCGCTCAAGCGCTTCACAGCACCCACTTCACGCCCCTCCCCTCCCCCTGCCGTCACAGCAGCCACTGCACAGGCGCTTGCAGATCCGCCAGCAGAGGCCCTGCTGGGGGATGGGGGGAGGGGGGAGGAGGAGGAGGGGAAGGGAGAGGAGAGGGGGGGGAGGGGAGGGAGAGGTAAGGTTCAGGAGAGGGCAGGGGGGAATCAGTGACTGCAACCAAAGAGCTGTGAGTAAAAAGGAGGTCAAACTAGCGAGAGCTGAAGCAACAGTGAAGGGGTATAATCTGCAGCAGCAGCAGGAGGGGTTGATGAAAAGAGGCTTACCTTTGAGAGGCCAACCCCACCCCAGATACTCTCCCTCATGGCAGCGTTCCTCCGAGCTTCCCATGTGCATGGCAGCGGCAGCCTTGCTCCCGGCTCCCTCCCTGCACGGCCACAGGGGAGGGGTGCAGGGAAGTGGCACTGTTGACCCCCACACCCCTCCCCCAACCTGCAAGGAGAAAACTGTAGAGCAGTGAGAATGCGGCTAGAGGTAGAAGGGTGAGAGGTGAGCATGGGGGGTTGGCAGGTGATAGCAGCAGAGGGACCACTGGCACAGCACTAGGCACATGGTGCAGACCCAAGGGCAATAGCAAGGGGGTTTTATAGTAGGTCTTGTAGTATAGGGGTAGGCTTAACCTTGGGGGGGGAGGGGATTACCTGGAATAAGAGGGGGGGGGGGGGGGAGGGGTCTGCACCATGTGAGCTAGGCTAGTGGTTTGATTTAGGACGAAGTGATAAGGAGCGAAAGCATGTGTGAACGAATGTCAGAGTGGTGCAAAAACATGAAACAGAAGGCCAAGAGGCGAGAGAGGGTGTGTGAGTGCACTTATCAGCTTTGGCTGCTTGTGTGCTTCCAGGTGGCAGCCCCAGCCCTCTCTGCTTCCCCGCCCCTCTCAGCTGTAACAGCAGCCCTCTGCACATGCGCTTGCAGGTCCGCCAGCAGAGGCCCTGCTGGGGGATGGGGGGGGGGAGGAGGGTGAAGAAGGTGGGGGGGAGAGAGGGAAGGGTGAGGAGGGAGAAGAGTGGTCGGCAGATGGGAATGACATGTGCAAGCAATGCAGAAAGGAGAGGACGAGGGAGGGGGGCCACTGGTAGAGTCTCAGCTAGAAACCACGGACCCAAAGGGGAGGGGTGGCTTGGCTTGACCTGAGGGGTGTACCTGGAATACCTACAACTAGGCTGGGGGTCTGTGGCTTTTTCGCTGCACTGCTACCAGTGGCATGACTTTAAAGGAGCAAAACGAATTACAGAAACAGGGGCAAGGCATGGTGTGAAAGGCAAGGGCGGGTGCAGGGAGTGGAGGGTACTTAGCTGGTTGCTTGCTGGAGGCCTTGAGGCCGCTCAAGAGCTGGCCTGCTGCCGTTGCTGCCTCTGCCACCACAGCAGCTAGTGCTGGGGAGAGGAGACGAGGGGAGGGATGCACAGGCGCTTGCACATCCGCCAGCAAAGGCCCTGCTGGGGGATGGGGGGCGGGAGGGAGAGGGGGGGGAGAGGTAGACACAAAGAGAAAGAAAGTTAAACCCAGTAGAGAGTGGGAGGCGCATGGGCATTGAAACGAGCAAGCAATGCAGAGAGGAGAGGAAGAAGGGAGGGAGCCACTGGTGGAGGCACAAGCACAACACGCCACAGGCCCCAAGGGAACCTGAGGGGACTGTAGGGAAGGAGGGCTGAACCTGAGGGGGTTACCTGGGGGGGGTGTTGGGGGGGGAGGGCTGAACTTGAGGGGGTTACCTGGGGTTGGTTCTGCGGATTGTGAGCCGGGCCCCAGCCAGTGGCGCATTTCAATGGAGAAAGCATGGAAGGAAAAACCATGTCACGAAAAACCAAACGTTGAAAAAAACAACTAGGGGGCTCAGACTAAGGAGAAAAGGTTTGCTTAGCTGAAGCCGCACTAAGAGTGGTTGTCTGCTATCCCCTTCCCTCCCTCCTCTCCTCTCCCCTCCCCTTGTGCTGCCAAGAACCGCCAGACGTGCTGCCGCCACACCCAATGCTCTCTCTCCCAGACCGCTCCCAACCACTGCTGCTGCCACCACAGCTGCAACCCCTGCAGTGACAGGAGGGAAGGGCGCGGGGGGCGGGGGAGGAAAGGAGAGAGAGGGGGGTGAGCAGACCCCCCCTCTCTCTCTCCAGAACAGAAAGCAGCAAACAAGCAGAGGCAGAGGCAAGAGTGGGGGTTAGATGCAGCAGCAACAGAGACACGGACAGAGCAATGGCAGCAGACTCGAGCCTCTGCGCGGCGAGGCGACTCTCTATGGCTATCCTCCCCCCTCCAGACACCCCTTGGCACTTACCGCCAGCTTGAGTCCGCCGTGCTGCCACACTGCACTCCAGGCACCCCTCCCCTGTCCTGTCCTGCGCGTTTGGTTCCGCGCGCCGCCGACAATTTTGGGGTGGAGGGAGTTTGGCGCGTGAAGGTAAACGGCTAGCAGGCAAAGAACCGACGGTGACGCATGTAACAAAACGTAATTATGCCTCTCGACTAACAAAAGACATTATTCAGTGACTAATTTCATTCAAACACTTTCAATGTACATAAGTACCACCAAAATCCAGGCGCATTGCACGTCAGGCTAGCTCCCACTAAACTGTGCAGTGCCATTAGGCACAACTGACCTTCGGCACCCCATCAAGTAGTACACCAATCACAGTCTACCTAACCAGTGTAGGAGCTACAGCATACAGGCACCAGCACCAGAAGCACTACTGCCAGACACAAGAGAACAGAACCCCATGTTCAAAATGCACACTTTTCTCAACAACCGGCACCATCCTGTTAACGTAGAAACGAATGATTTACTAGAGGTGGAAACCTAGAACAAATACTAGTTGGTTGTACTCACTAGAAGCATACCTCAGTCTAGCCTATAACTTCTACATAGATAATATGTATAAGTTGACACACCCCCTAGGCTAGACAAGGGGTGAAACTAAACAAGAAGCAAACAGCTCAGGGCGGCACTACTAGTCCAACCACTGAGGCAGGGGTCTGGAGACCAGTCAGCAAGAATACAACCAAAACTGAAGCAAGCCAGGGTGGCACTACTAGTCCAGCCACTGGAGGTAAGGCCACAAGGCCAGTCTGACAAGCATATATAATAGAGAGTACACAATCAGGATCCTAACAGGGGAGCAGCTATAGGAACAAGACCAAGCTGTACACAGTGCCGCTGATGATCTTTAGGCGCAAGCGCCTTAGTAAAGATATCAGCTGTGTTGGCACCTGAGGCCAAGTGAACTACGCGGGCCTGGCGGCGCTGCTGTAGCTCGCGCAGGAGGAAGTACCGCAGCTGGATATGCTTCGCTCTGCCCTCAAGCCGAGGCTCCTGACACAGGAGTATCATGGCCCTGTTGTCAGCGTACAGGACCGGGGCAGAGCTAGGCCGCTCACCTAAGTCTGTGAGCAAGAAGGTCAGCCAGCGGAGCTCCTGTGCCGCCATGGCACCAGCGTAGATCTCAGCCTCACAGCTAGACTGAGCCACAGACGACGAGCGAGTGGATCTCCAAGAGATAGCACCCGAACCAAGGCTGAAACAGTAGCCCTGTGACGACCTGAGCGTCTCAGCGTCGTCTGCCCAAGAAGCGTCTGTGTGCCCAGTAAGGACCACTGGCCTGCGTCCTCCTAGCACTAACCCCATGCCTGATGTACTAGCAAGATAACGCAAAACCCTCTTAGCGGCAGACCAGTGCTGAGGTCGGTGTCTGCCTGTAGCCACAAAGCGAGCCAGGATGCTGAGAGGGTATGCGAGATCTGGGCTAGTACATCACGAGCGCGACGGGGCCCAGGGGGGGCGCGACGGGGCCTAGGGGGCGCGACGGGGCCTAGGAGGCGCGACGGGCGGAAGCGGTAGGCGGGGGGATCCTAACCTAAGCGTGATACCATGTTAACGTAGAAACGAATGATTTACTAGAGGTGGAAACCTAGAACAAATACTAGTTGGTTGTACTCACTAGAAGCATACCTCAGTCTAGCCTATAACTTCTACATAGATAATATGTATAAGTTGACACATCCTTCTGCAAAACCTCCCCTTCAATTTCCAGGCCAAAGGTTATCCCATGAGCCAGCCCCGCCAGCAGCAGCACCTCCAGCCAAAGCAGCAGCAGCAAGTGCAGGCGATGAAGATGCAGCAGCCGCAGCACCACCAGGGAAAGCAGCCTTGGCAGGTGCGGCGAAAGCAGCAGGCGCAGAGCCAGCCGGGTGAGCAGCAGGAGCAGCACCATGCAGCAGAGCAGCGTCAGGAGCAGGGGGGAGCCCCTTGGGCCGCTGAGTTGGTGGCGTGCGGAAGCCAAGCAGGCGCAGCACAAACCGGGCTAGCTCACCGTACAAGAGACCTGCGCGGTCACAGAGCTGACACATGGACAGGCGAGAGAGGAGGTAGGTAATGGGTGAGGGGAGCAGAATACAGGGAGGCCAGAAGCCAACACAGACCAGGGAGGCACCGCAACATGCGAGAGCAGGAGCAGAAGAGATGCCTGAGGCTAGGAGCCCTGGCTGTGATCAGGCAGAAACCAGCACGTGGGAGCCAGCAGGTGAGCATGGTGGTGGCAAGTAAGCAAGCAAGCGAGCAAGCGTACCTGCAGCAGTGCTGAGATGAAGAAGTGTATGGCATGCGTGTTCTCATCCACCAGCACACACAGGCGACCAAACGCCGTCATCACCCCATGGATCTGCTCGCCTCACACACACACACACACACACACACACACACACACACACACACACACACACACACACACACACACACAACCAACCGCACACACGGCAACAGAGGACAGTACAGTTCAGGCCAAATTACTTGTACAACAGCAGACATGCACGGTGATAAAAGATGGGGAAATTTGGACACACACCGAAGAAGTTACGAATCCGCTGCACTTGGTGGGATAAATCCTGCACTCACCACTCGCAGCATGGAGACCCAGAAAGTAGGCGCGCGAGGCGGGCCCTGCCCGTCAGGAGGAGCATTGGGGTCGCCTGGATGCGGCCCCATGCCCATCTCGCCACCATACCCCATCCCCATGCCCATCCCCGACCCATACATCCCCCCACCCATTCCCCCCATCGTTAACCCCGAACCATACATTCCCCCGCCAAGGCCGCTTCCGTATCCCCCCATGCCCCCCATGCCCCCCATGCCGTAACTAGACCCGTATCCCCCGCCGTACATCCCGCCAGCCCCGTATCCCCCGCCGCCGTAGCCGCCATAAGTGCCGCCGAGTCTCGAGGCGTAGGGGGAGGAATAGGCGCTGCCGTACGCGGTGCCACCCGCACCGTACATGCCCCCGCCACCGTAGAGCGAACTCATGCCGCTGCCGTAGCGGTTTGCGCCCAAGTAGGCTCCGCCAGCGGTGCTGGCGGCCGTGCCGTAAGCGGACGAACCGTACGGGGAAACCGCGCTTGCGCCTGGGGGGTGGGGGGGGAAGGGTACGGAATGCACATGGCGCACGGGAAACATGGAGAGGAATGCGCGAAACGGCTACGGATGAGGGACATACAGAAACGCGAAGACTGGCACGAGCAGGAGAGGAGGGTAAAGAGAAACGGGAGATAGAGGGGGACGCCATCGAGAGACTAAGTGCAAGAGAGGGACGGGGGGGACAGCGGGTCGGAGTGGGCGGGAAGAGCGGCCAGCGGCCAGCGACCAGTTTCCAAAAGGCGTCAAATAACAGCATGAACTCCGTTTACCTGCAGCAGTGGCTGTGCCTTCCCAGGGCCGAGAGGGCATAGGCCGGCCAGCAGCAGCTGCGTCGGCAGACGTGAGCGCGTTGGCTCCAGCGGTGCCCGCCTCCGCGACGACCTGGGACGTGCTGGCAGCCGGCGCCGACGGAGCGAACGGCGACGACGACGACGCTCCCGTGCTCTGCTGCGCCCGCTCCCAAGGCTTTGGCGGAGGAGGTCTTGCTGCGGACGGGGCGAGCGAAGCGGGATTTGAGTTTGGAAAGAGAAAGTGAAATTATGAAGGAGCGATAAGACGGAGAATTTAGCTTGGATAAAACTAAGGACAAAATCGGGATATGACCGCCAGATCGCTGGAGCACGCATGTTGCACACAGAAACGGAGTTGAGACATGATTCGGAAAGGCAGGACTTACATGCCATAAATCACCGCTGAAGAAGTGTTGTGCGACTGGAGCTCGTTACAAGCGTCGGGGACCAAACTACGAAGAGAAGACACTCAGACTGCTTTCCTTGCCACGGGAAACCCCGTGCTACAAGCAAAGCCGATAATCCAACGGCGACCGCACTGGAGAGGGGAGGACGCTGCCCATGCAGAGACAGCCCGGGTTGTCCTGGTAATTAAACTATATGGGATGAACGAGGAGAAGCCAAACAACGGCAAGGACAGCCGAGGATGGGACGAAGAGTTACCTGGATCGCTGGAAAATTCCTACGGTGTAGCTAGACCCTAACGGAGAAATCGAGGCCAGCAGCACCGCAAGTGATGGCTGACGAAGGAAGGCAGGAGAGAGCAAGGAGGCAGCGGGAAGGGTCTCGGACTTCAGTCACATCACATACAAGAACAGTAACGCCGTCAGGCTGGAGCAAGCGGGGGCACTGATTTGCTGGATCCTGCGTTTCCCACCAACTAGGCGGTTTTCACCAAACCCTAATCCGAGAATACACGCGCTATCCTCCCTAGGGAATGGCACGTGGCTATCGAACAGCTGCCTATTTGTCTGGCGAAGCGTGGCGTTCGCGAATCACTTGGCGTGTATCGAAAATGCTGTCACCAATTTCGTCCACTCGGCGATAGACGAGGCGAGGAAGCCTGCCAGACGAAGGAGCCGATGAATTTCGCCATTCCAGAGTGGTGTTCGTTGACAGAACCCCCTCGTCGTGATTGGTTGCCTCGTTCTGAGGAGCAGCCACAGAGCTGGAGAGGTGAACAGTTATGCAGTGGTGTTCTGGCGAACGGACAGCTGAACATTGGGAATGTCATGTCATGTCTTTGATCGCGGCTTGCCACCTCAGCAGGCAGTGGTGCGGGCATCATGTCTATCCCACACATGGAGTGCCATGGTGAAAATGCGCACCTAGTGCATGAAGACGACCAGATGACATATGACAAGTGGATGTTCCATTGTCGAGTTCCGGTTGACTGTGCACAGCAAGGCAGCGAAACCATCACAATTGACGACATCCACCGCATATTTGACGATGGTTTGGGTGGTTGCTACTCGAACTGCTCTGGGAATGATTTCTGTTGACGCGTGCCACGTCACTTTGGGCTTCATGGTCCACGTCAAGCCGGCCAGGGACAGCACAACGCCTGGGATGGTGGCAAAATGGTCCCCCAGCCTGTTGGAGGCAACTGTATTCTGTCGATGGGGAATGGTTCAGATCAATTTTTGGGCTCAGCAATTAAACATTTCCTCAAATGAAGTTATTCGTAGAAGGTGTACAGTTTTTCTCCTTGCATAATCTCGATAACCGCGTACCCGCTTCTGGTTTTACCCCTCCCGTCTCTGACGGCCTGAGACGGCGGGAAAGCACGCCTCCCCTCCTGCGTTGTCAGACCCGCCAAGCCGCCAAACCATCCAGAATTCCACCGTCATTTTAGACATCTGCACCTGCCTTTCTGTCACAAAAACCTCCTCATCACCTCACTTCCAAACCAGGCACTTCAATCCTCCCCATGCCAAACGATTTTGCCCGCCAATCTCCGACCGACATCAGAACAGCTGACCGACAGCGCCACGACAAACTTCAAATTCACGCAACGCGATTCCAGCTCTGTTGAGGGGAGGGGAAGAGAGGAAGACTTGTCGTCAGGTCTTATAGGAGGACCCCAGCAGCACGCTGCGCATTCTGTTCTCGTCCAGTATGCTGTGGAGAAGCACACGCTAGTTCCAGTCCTTGAAGCCGCCTCCCTTCAGCAGTTCTGCTCCATTTCTCTCGACCTTCGGCTTGGACCTTTCCCTCCCGTGGGTGGACCTACTCGCCAGCATTTGATCGTTTTGCTTACTGACGTTCCTGGCGATATCTCACGACACAACAAGCTCAGTTGCCTGTTTCACCACTCTGCTTCTCACGCTTCACCTCGTTCATAGCGCACTCCTGGACCAGCAGATCGCCTTAGATACGCATCGAACCAGCATACTCCGTCACACCTTCCTAGCTAGACCCGCTGCTTTACGTTCGGCCCTGTCAGGATTCTGGAAGAAGCATTCGGATCTTCCACAAACGTGGCTTGCACAAAAGCAGACTTCTAGTCGCCGTTTCACAGAGTGAGCTATGGACAGACTGAAGCGTCTTCCCTCGGAATCACCCCGATCCCGCCAACGTCTCGTCCCGTCCAGTCCAACTTCAGCCGTTTCCCTGCCGATCGCCCTGGTCCACCTCATCCTCCTCCTCTCCCCCCTCTCCATCATCCCTCGAGCCGTCGGTGAAGTAACTCCAGCAAGCGTAACTGGCCAGCAAGTCATGGCCCTCCGCTCACCTTCTGATTTCCAACCCAAGGCCACCGCCACTGCGAGTCCATCCAATTCGACTCCCAAGGCTCCCGTTCCTCCCATCGCATCCATCAAGGCCACTCCCGCCGCCCTCAAGTCCTCAACACTTCCATCCAAGGCGTCACTTGCCGCTAAATCCCCAGCAGTCGCTAACTCTCCGGCAGTTGCTAAGACGCCAGCAGTTGCTAAGACGCCAGCAGTTGCTAAGACGCCAGCAGTTGCTAAGTCGCCAGCAGTCGCTAAGACCCCAGCTGTCACCAAGTCCCCAGCTCCTCTAGTAGCTAAGTCTCCATCCATTGGCAAGTCGCCACCGCTGCCAACGAAGGCCCCCGCTTCCACGCCTCTCACTCCAAACGCATCGACACCGGCTAAGGTCCCCGCCAAAATTCTGGCTACTACGCCGCCCACCACGCCAGCTCCTCCGCAGAAGCCGCTGTCGCTGAAGAATATCAGCCCCGCCTTGGCGGAGTGCATTCCGGGGAAGACGGAGGGGTTGCAGTGCCGCGCGTGCGACCAGCAGATTTCAGGCGAGGATAACTGCTACTGCCTGGGTAACCAGTGCATGACGTTCTGCAAGGTGTCGCGCAGCATGGCGTGCAAGTCGTGCTACAACTTCGACGGCAGCGGGTGCCTGTGCAACCGGGACGGGCAGTACTGCTCGGTGGCGTGTTACGAGCCTGGTGGTTACCAGCGCAGCTGCAAGCGGTGCAGTGACGCGAAGAACAACCCGTGCCTTTGCGCGGGGAACTTCCTTGGCTGCCAGGATTTCTGCTTCTTTGCGGCAAATGCGGGGAAGGCTTGCCGGTGCGCGGATGGAGCGCTTGGTTGCACCTGCAAGTACAACGTAGCGCAAGCTAGGAGCACATGCAGTAGATAATGACCTTACTTAGGACGTGGGGGGGCTGCATGATCACAGCACCCTGTTCCCCTTGGCCAATGCAATCATGATTTCCATATGAGGCAAACCGCTACTTGAACACTGAGGTACAACTGGTATGAAGTGTAGCTTGTGATCAACAAAAGTGGATTCGAGTGGTTTAAAAAGGAAGAACCAGAGCCAGCCTGTATAAGCCTAGGTACTACTAGGTAAGTGTATGTGAATTCAGCATATTTCTTAGGGCCCATGAGGGTGAGGCTTGTCCGGTCTGAGAAAACTACAGATGACGTACCGGTATGAACTAGAATATAACTTTTCAATTCAGGCATGGTACAAGGGGTGAAACCGGGGGGGAAGCATTGTGATGTCACTTAGACCCTGCTTTACCGTTTTCAAAAAGCTGGATGTGTTTGCTTGCTGTATGTAGTAAGTTATGTATACATTTGTTTCTTTCTGCAAATTATAACTTGAATTGATGGCGATTTAGCTGGGATTTTGCAGGGCTCGGGACGGAACCCAGCTGGCCTGAGGTTGATGATGATGACCAACCAGCTCGTGCTGCCCCATCCCTCTCATCCTTGCTGCGTTGGCCCAGCCGAGCTGTTCTGGGCATACTTCCACATCGGTATTACCTGGACACGGCAGCTTCGTCGTGTCATCTGGGACTGGTGATGACGGCATATTGGCCCAAGCTGGGGCATTCTCAAGGCGTTGATGCAGCCGACACTCACGCCGTGGAAATTTGAGAGGCCAGGCCTCAATCTGGTTAGGCTTGGGTGTGCTTCTGCCCTGGCCGAGCTAATCCGAGCCAACCAAGATCCGTCATGAGAGCTCTGGTAAGCAAACCTGGCTCTCATCAAATCTCCAAAACCCGTGGCATTCACTCCCTCCCTACTCAGGCTACATTATAAAGGCCGACGCTCGAGCCCATGGAATTCATTCGCTGACCTTTCCAACGAGGCTTTGCTCTTCCAGCTGCTGCTACATCTGCCGTGTTTCAGCAACCACCACTCTTTCCTTCTGAAGCTCAGCGAAGCCTCGCGTGTGTGTCAGTGGATACCTGAATAGCGAGCGAGCAAGTTCTTCCTGCCGCTGGTAGCATCTATCACTCGCTAGTCCGTAGCGGCTTGCGTGTCGCATCGTCGCGTCGCGTGCGCTGTGCTGGTGTCGCCATGGAGGGACGGTCGGAGGCCGTGAACCGGCGAGTGGGCGTTCTCGCGCAGCATCTGTCCCTGCAAGGCCCTACGATGGACGAGCAGATCCTCATCGGCGCTGCGCCCTGCCTGCAATACGTCCCGCCTGAGCGCCACGAAGGTACCATCTTTCGAGTCCTGCAGATATCTAGGTACCATCACGATGGGTGGGATAGAATCTTGACATGGATATGTCGTTGTCTCGTTTCCCTTGGTACCTCGTTTGCTCGTTGATGCCGAAGGATCAAATTTCGCGCTTTCTGTGTCTGTCGCGCGCAGGACCCGCCAAGTTCAACCCCGCTGCTCTGCACAAGCTGCTGGTGCGCGACGACGGGGACGTTCACAAGGAGATGTTCAACCTTTTCGCCAACACCAAGATCTTCTGGTCCAATCCCGACCCGCCACGTGGACACGTGTACACGAGCATGGACTACAACGCGACCAAGGAGCAGCAGAGGGACATCACGTTCGAGCGGATTATCTATCTGAGGGACCGCGGGTACTTCAAGGGGTGGCTCACTGACGACAGTCCGGCGAGCGTGAGGCGCAAGTCGGCGATGCACGAGGCCATCAGCATGTTCGACCAGTCCATGGCCGTCAAGCTGGGCGTGCACATCCACCTCTGGTGAGCTCGCGCTGCTGCTGCTGCTGCTGCTGGGGCTGCTGCTGCTGCTGATGTTTTTTTTTCTTCCCCGCTAAATGCACTCCAAGAAATCACTGATCCTGACGCGCGACGGAGGCAAGTATCGTTTTGGGAAGCATGGAGTTGAGGTGCTTGAGAATGCACGCCAAAACTGGACGCTTGGTGCATCGTCGTATCAAGAACGTGAACCAATTCGACCTTCTCACGTAGCACTTGGCAATAAGTTTCTCTGATTGAGTCGGTTGAATCCGTGGCAGGGGTGGTGCGGTGAAGTACCTGGGCACCAAGAGGCATCACGACAAGTGGCTGGCTCGCACGGAGGACTACGAGGTGGCGGGCTGCTTCGGACTCACGGAGCTCGGCCACGGAAGCAATGTGAGTGCACTCCCTAACGCGCCTGCGCTTGCTCCAGACTAGAAAACCCTGTATGGCCTTGCTTTCAAGCCACCTGCGTGCCACCCGCCTCACTCTCTCTCTGTCTGCTCGATGCTGCGTGGTTCAGGTGCGCGGCATTGAGACGGTAGCGTCGTACGACCCAGCGCGCGAGGAGTTCATCATCACCACGCCGTGCGAGACCGCGCAGAAGTACTGGATCGGAGGCGCCGCCATGGTTGGTACCCCTTTACTTTGCTTAGCACATGGCAATCTTTCTACCTCTTCTGTCCAACCGAAGGCAAATTTCTTTAGTTCAATGTCCGAAATTTCTGATTCGATCGCTGCTCGTTCACCTCCCCCTCGTTTCTCACCGTTTCCTGTGGGTGGGTACCCCGTTGCTTTGGGCGGTGCAGCACGCGAACCACACCGTGGCGTTCGCGCAGCTGCACATGAACGGGCGCAACGAGGGCGTGCACGCCTTCATCGTGCCCATCCGCGACGCGCACGGCCGCGTCATGCCCGGCGTGCGCATCGCCGACTGCGGCCACAAGACGTGCCTCAACGGCATCGACAACGGCCGCATGTGGTCAGTAACCTCACCACCGCCTCCCCTCTCCCTTCTCCGCTCCACCTCGTGCCACCTCGTGCCTCCTCTTGCCTCCCCTTGCCTCCCCTTGCCTCCTGCAAGTGCTCCTGCCCTCCCTCCCCCTTCCCCTTCCCATCCACTCACCTCATTTCACTCTTTCTATCACGATGTAAGGGCATGAACCTGACGTTCACCTTGATTGTTCTGCTCTGTCTGTCTTGTCTGTCTGTCTGCCTCCCTGCCTGCCTGCCTGCTTGCCGCGCTGCAGGTTCGACAGTGTGAGGATCCCCCGTGAGAATTTGCTCAACGCAGTGGCGGACGTGACGGCGGATGGCCGCTACATCAGCCCCATTCCCGACCCCGACCAGGTAATCACAGCAAGTGACCACACCAGACTAGATGGGCACGATTCAAGCGCAAGGAAGCAAGGGCCTGTGAGGCGAGGAGGCAGTCTGTGCCACTTTAGAGATCGGGCTGCTATGGAAACACAGAGCATTCCTGCCTTGTGCGTTATGGTTCTGTTGGAAGAAATTACTCACCTGACCTGATGAATCTGGGTGTGTGCGTGTGTGCGTGTGCGTGTGAATGCCACCCACGTCATGCAGAGGTTCGCTGCGTTCATGGCTCCTCTGACAGGAGGGCGCGTCACACTGGCAATCAGTGCCGTCAACCAGTGCAAGGTCAGCATCAGGCCAGCAGGCCCTCTGTCTCGCACACACGTCACGTTCCTCTTCAACACCAGCAACTAGCACAAGCTTTTCCTTGCCATGCCATTAATCATCTCTCGGTCTGGTGCGTGGTGCGTCTGCAGGTGGGTCTGTCCATCGCGCTTCGCTATGCGCTCACGCGCCGTGCCTTTGCGCTCACGGCGGGGGAGGAGGAGGTGCTGCTGCTGGACTACCCCACCCACCAGCGCCGCCTGCTGCCGCTCCTCGCCAAGACGTGAGTCTCTTTGAGTCTCTTGAGTCTCTTTGAGTCTCTTGAGCCTCTCTCTTGAGTCTCTTGAGCCTCTTGAGCCTCTGCCCAGCCATGAGGCCCCCCTCTGCACTTCCCTAACCCCTCGTCTGCATCCTCCCCAGTCCACCATTCTCCAACCTCCTCCTGTACATTGTGCTGCTAACCCACAGTCCCTTTGATCCCACAACACCCCCCCCCCAACCCTTCTGGTTTTTACCCTCCCTGCTTTCAGGTATGTGCTGAACCTGGCAGTGAACGGGCTGTGCAATCTGTACCTATCCCTTCCCTGTCCCACCCACCCCCATACGTCTCTCCTCCCTCCCTCCTTCCCCCCCTCCCCTCCCCTCCCCTTCCCCAACCCCCCACACCCCCTCGTCGTGCCTCCAGCTACGTGCTGAACCTGGCAGTGAACGGTCTGCGCGAGCTGTACCTATCCCGGAGGCCGTCGGACGTGAAGGACATCCACGTGCAGTCGAGTGGGTACAAGGCGATGAACTCGTGGCACATGCTGCGCACGCTGCAGGAATGCCGCGAGGCGTGCGGCGGCATGGGCGTCAAGAGCGACAACCGCATCGGGCACCTGTACGCGGAGCACGATGTGATGACCACGTTCGAGGGGGACAACGTGGTGCTCATGCAGACGGTGAGTGGGGCGCTTGTAAGCAGTGAGTGGTGCTCATGCAGGCGGTGAGAGGCCATGCACCACGCTCCCATGCACTCTATCGGACGTGCCTTTGAGGCTTGCCCTCTGTGCACGCAATCACCAGTGCTCTACACCCGTGCACATGCTTTCTTGCACACGTGCGTGCTTGCTTGCTTCCATGTGTGCTCGTGTACTTACCTGCCTACGCCCCCATGCATGTGTATCCCTCCGTGTGTATGATGCGTGTGCAGGTGAGCAAGGCGATTTTGGCTGACTTCATGGCGGCCAAGAGGAAGGGCAAGCCCATGCACGGGCTGGGACTGGAGCACCTAAACGGGCCCAGAGTACCGCTCTCCACCTCGTCCAACCGCGCCATCCTTCGCGACCCCAAGTTCCATGTACGCATGCATGCCTCACATGCAGCTTCTGCACCTGCGCACCTTGCCACCTTCGCACAACCGTTCCAACTCACTGGCTTGTTGCGGCTTTCTGCAATGGCATCACGCATTGTACCTGCTCCCCTTTGCGCCAATCTTCCCTGTGCACTCCTTGCCTCTGTCTGACTTGCGCTGCGGTGCATCAGCTGGCTCTGTTCCGTCTGAGGGAGAGGGACCTCCTGGAGCGTCTTGCCACTCGGGTGAACGTGCTCGTGTCCGCCGGCCACAGCATCTCAGACGCCCTCAACCAGGTGAGCGAGCCACGCACTCAGCTGCAGTGGTCTTTATTTGCGCAGTGGCTTGCCTTGCCTGCCAGTCGTGTCTCACACCATCCGACTCGCACCACCTGCCAGTTTTGTGCAGTCTGCGTGCATCCTGTCTCACTGCTTGCGCCTGTCCCTTGTGCTCGCTCACTCACCCTTGCCGACCTTGTTGCCCCGCAGAGCTTCCAGCTGAGTTCTGACCTGGGGAGGGCCCATGCGGAGCTCGAGGTGCTGGTGGCTGCCACCAACGTGCTGCAGGGGCTGCAGGCTGGAGCACTCAAGGTACCGCTGCTTTTCTTGACCTACACTTCCTCACCAACCACCACCTATATTGCGGTCTTCCCCTCGCCCAGCCGTGCATCTGCACCGTGCCAACACACCCTCTTTCTTATGCCTTGTCCTCTCTTTTTTCCTTGCTCGTGTGTGAACAGGACGTGCTGACTCTTCTCACCACGCTCTTCGCAACGGTGACTGTGGACGAAGACCCTGTCTTCCTCAGGTAACCAACCAATACCTCCCCCTTCTCCCTCTTCCCTCCCACCCCCTCACACCCATCTTCCCCCACGTGTCTACTCCCTATTCCGCTCTCCCAACCACCTATTTTCACCTCTACCCCGACACCAGCCTAATCTCCCATAACCCCCACTCTCTGTGGTAACCAGGTACGGTTACGTGAGCACGGAGCAGGGCCAGGCGGTGCACGATGAAGTGGCCCTTCTCTGCAAGGAGGTGCGCCCGCACACGCTGCCCCTGGTGCACGCATTCGGGCTGCCCGCGCACCTGCTGGGCCCCATTGCATTCGACTGGGTGGACTTTGAGTCGTGGAAGAATGTGGAGCAGGGCCGTGACAAGTGGTCTGGGCAGGTGGCGCACCTGTGATGGGGAGGAGAGGGAGAGAAAGCCAGTGGATGTGGATGGAAGGAATCCTGAGAACGCTGTCTGGTGTGAGTGTGTGTAAAGGATCTGGCTACGGATGTGGCGTGGCATCTACTGTGGCGTTGCTGCTGGCCTTTTGTACATGACGGCATAGCCCCGAGGTGTCTGCTGGCCTACCTTTACTGTTGAGCTTGCTCTCTTGCCATATGTGTTCCTTCTCTTGTAGGCAGTGTGTACTGTGCTGCCAGTACTGTATGCTGCTGCACTTGTCTGGGTCTATAATCGCTTGTGTGATAGTGTGCTCGTCTAGTACAGTACATATTTGTGCTAATATCTGTCACGTTCACCAGCATAACCTTATGAAACGTTTATGACCAGGATGTCTGAAGCTTGGCAACATCTGTATCAGCCACTGCTTTTGCGGAGCAGTAAAAGTACCAGCACATTCAGCAAAGTCGGATGGATGCGTGCCATGCCACATGTCAGGGAGGAGAAACATCAAGGAAAGCATTCATGCACAAAATCGTTGCATTATACAATGACCATGGGGCAAAAAGGAACCAAAGAGCAGGATATCATTGCCCTGAGCACAATACACTATGTCCGGATCAAAGTTCCTACAGTCACATCAAAACCCTACTTCCTCTTCCCCTTGCCCCGCCCTCTTGCAGCCTTCCCCTTGGCCCCCACTGCAGCTGCTGCCTTCCGCTTCCCTGCGCCCCTCCCCTTGCCAGCAGCTGCTGCTGCTCCTCGGCCCTTCTTTGCCCCTGCACTGCTCCCCCTCCCACCTCGCCCTTTCCTCTTCTTCGATGCACTCTCCTCTTCACCCTCACTTTCTTCCTCTTCACCCTCACTTTCTTCCTCTTCACCCTCACTTTCTTCCTCTTCCTCCTCTTCTTCTTCCTCATCCCCCCCCACTTCTTCCACATCCTCGTCCTCCTCTTCATCTCCTGCAGCCTGCCCTTTCGCCACCTTTTTCGATGCCTTCTTAGTGCCCGCCGCCTTGCCCTTGGCAGTCGACTGAGAGACAGAGTCTGCCTCAGGGGTGAACACCGGGAGCTGATGGGGATTCAGCCAACAGGGAAATGGGACAGAGAGTGAAATGGGGGGCAGGTGGAGTGGAAAGGGGTTGGGTCATTCAATCATAAACCATACTTGCCCTGTATCACTATGATGTGTGAGAGTACCGTAGCTTTGAGACGTCTCAAAACCAAATTCCTCTCATGCAGATGATAAACCATTCATGTAACACATGAGGCAACACCCAAGGCAAGGTCACATCGCCCAGCGGCAAGGTCGCACCGCCCAGAGGCAAGGTTGCACCGCCCAGAGGCAAGGTCGCACCGCCCAGAGGGAAGGTCGCACCGCCCAGAGGGAAGGTCGCACCGCCCAAAGGCAAGGTCGCACCGCCCAGAGGCAAGGTCGCGTCGCCCAGAGGCAAGGTCGCACCGCCCAAAGGCAAGGTCGCACCGCCCAGAGGCAGGGTCGCACCCCCCAGAGGTGCCCAGAGGCAAGGTCGCACCGCCCAGAGGCAAGGTCGCACCGCCCAGAGGCAAGGTCACACCGCCCAGAGGGAAGGTCGCACCGCCCAGAGGGAAGGTCACACCGCCCAGAGGGAAGGTCGCACCGCCCAGAGGCAAGGTCACACCGCCCAGAGGGAAGGTCGCACCGCCCAGAGGCAAGGACGCACCGCCCAGAGGGAAGGTCGCACCGCCCAGAGGCAGGGTCGCACCCCCCAGAGGCGCCCAGAGGCAAGGTTGCACCGCCCAGAGGCAAGGTTGCATCGCCCCGAGGCAAGGCCGCATCGCCCAGAAGCAAGCTCGCATCGCCCAGGGGCAAGGTCGCATCGCCCAGAGGCAAGGTCGCAGTGGCTAGAGGCAAGCTCGCTACGCTTAGAGGCAAGCTCGCTACGCCTAGAGGCAAGCATGCAGCACATAGGGGCCATCCATCCACCCTTCCTCCCTCCGTCCCTCCTTGCTCTCACTCACCCCAGCGAGCAGCTCCCCAGCCTTCTTCCTCTTCTCCTCAGTGGCATCAGGGGCGCCAGTGCGCGACACCAGGTGCAGAAAGAAGCCCACACCGCCCGCAACCCTGGGGTGGACAGTCAGGGTAAGGCGGATTTTGGGGACGAGAAAATAAAGGGGATGCAGGGGGGGTTGGGGGAAGGTGAGGTGGTGGGGGTTGGGGGAAGGTGAGGTGGTGGGGGTTGGGGGAAGGTGAGGTGGTGGGGGTTGGGGGGGTTTGGAGGGAGATATGCTTGGGATGAGCGGAATGGTATATCCCCAGCGCACGGTGGGAAGAATGATGATAGGAGCTCCATCCATGGGAAGTTGTTTCTGTCTGCCCAAACACATGTACAGCCCAGCCCTGGACTCTGCACCCCATACATAACATACATAAATACAGACATATATGTACGTACCACACAATGTCCAGTGGTTTACTGCTTCTCGGAGGCGCCTAAAAAAAAGGCTCCACACTGTGTACTATCAGTTACGTCCTGTCGGGCCTATCCTGCCAGGCATGTACTGTTGTGCGTGTACTGTTGTGCATGTACTGTTGTGCGTGTACTGTTGTGCATGTACTGTTGTGCGTGTACTGTTGTGCATGTACTGTTGTGCGTGTACTGTTGTGCATGTACTGTTGTGCGTGTACTGTTGTGCATGTACTGTTGTGCGTGTACTGTTGTGCATGTACTGTTGTGCGTGTACTGTTGGGCACTTAACTGTATGCTGTGCATGCCTTCAAGGGCATCGATCTTCTTTGGGTTGGCTGACGACCTGCAGGGAGGCAGGGAGTCAGGGAGTGGGGAGAACAGGTGGGGGGAGAAATGGATGATTGGGGAGAAGGCAGTTCACCATACCTCCATCCCATCAACCTCTCAATCAACACCCTCCCAATTCTACCTCTCCCCCTCTCACTTGGTGCCCTGGGGTCCGTCCGTAGCCCAGCTCCCCAAGCTGCGCCATGCCCCATGAGATGGTGGAGGCATCAGCAGCCACGCAAGAGGTGCAGGGCCTGCACGCTACGCTGCGGACGTGCCACCCGCTCAATCCAGCATTCCCACCCCGCCCCTCTCCCATCCCCCCATCCCCATCACCCTTTCCGTTGCCCACACCCACTGCACCCACCGCATCCCTTCCGATCCGCATCTCTTCCTCCCCCTCCCTCCTACCCACCCCCTCTCACTTGGCGCCCTTGGGTCCATAGCCGAGCTCCCCATGCTGCGCCATGCCCCACGAAATAGTGGAGGCGTCAGCAGCCACACACGAGGTGGCGGGCCCGCACGCCATGCTGCGGATGTGCCACCCGCTGAGGTCCAGCAGGGGCTTGGGATACATCCAGCAGTCGCCCGTCTGCTTCACTTTGCCCCACACGTACAGCTGCCCGCCGCCTGACACATCCCCAGAGTTTGTGGCGGGAGTTTGGGAGGAGTTGGAGAGTGAGACAGGGAGTGGGATGGGAATGAGAGTTGAAGAGGGGGATGGGGAATGGGATGGCAGATTGGATGGCAGCAGTCGCCCGTCTGCTTCACTTTGCCCCACACGTACTGCCCGCCGCCTGGGCATAGGGGGGTTGGGGAGGATGTGGGAAGGGAGGGGATAGGAGAGAAGAGGGGGCGGCGAATGGGATGGCAGATGGGGAGTGGAGAGGCGGATCGCAGCAATGGCATTTGCACTCCCACTGGCAGGCTCACACTGCCATGGCGGGTTCTCACCAGCCGTGCATGCAGAGAAGGCTCCACCAGCAGCGACAACAGCGGACGCAGGCAGCGTGTTCTGGCCCTGAAAGACGTCTACCAGGTGCACCGAATCACAGCTATGGCACTCCCACCAGCACCCTCTCTCACTCTCCCATGGCGGGTTCTCACCAGCCGTGCATGCGGAGAAGGCACCGCCAGCAGCAACGACAGCGGTGGCGGGAAGAGTGTTCTGGCGCTGAAAGACGTCCACCAGGCGCGGCCTCCACTCGTCCTTCTGCTCCTTGTGCCCCAGCCGACCGAACCCTCCAAACCCCCACCTAGGGATTGACAAGCGGGGGAGGAGGAGGAGATAGGGGAAGGGTGGTGAGAAGAGGAAAGAGAGAAGGCTATGGCAAAGGAGAAAGGAGACAGCCATGCAGAAGCGAAAGACCAGGGCCGAGGTGAAGAAAGGGGCTTAGGGAGGATGCGAAGTTGAAGGGGAGGAGATAGGTGAAGAGGGAGGGCAGGGGAGGGCGAGGGAGGAGGAAGAATAGAGCGAGATGGACCGCGTGAGGAAGAGGAAGATGGGGGGGACCAGACGGGGACTACAAAACAGGAGGTGATGGGCAATCGGGGTGTGATGGTGTGGCAGAGGGTGACTCACGTGAAGACAAAGCCCTTGGAGTCCACAGCCACTGCCATACCATGCCATGCCATGCCATGCCATGCCATGCCATGCCACATGGAAGAAGTGTGAGAGAGGATAACAAAGAACGACGGACGGAAGGGAGACCTTCAAAGGGCAAAAACCAAATGCGAACAAACACACCCCCCTTCTCCCCCGCACCACCTCACTTTCGTCCCGCCTTCCCCCCTCTCCCTCTCACTCTCAATAACCCCACCCCCAACCCTTCCCCCAGCACTCACCGGTGTGGTTGGTGCCGCATGCCACTTTGGTCATCTCCCGGCCTGCCAGAGCAGCCACGGTGCGTGGAGTGGGCTGAGGGGCGTACACCAGCTTCACTGAGGAGTCCTTGGCGTTGTACTGCCATCGGTGGGTAGGGGGTTACGGTGGAGTGGTATGCAGAGGGCGTGTTATTATGAAGGGCCACACCCTGGCCTGCCATCGCGTTGCCACACACCAGCTTCACTGAGGAGTCCTTGGCGTTGTACTGGCACGCGTGCCTTGGGGGAGGCGAGGGCGGATGGGTGTGATGAAGGGGGGTCCGTCGCCTCGCATTGCCGTGCACCAGCTTCACCAGCTGTGCTGGCATCGGTGGGGGGGGTATGGTGGAGTGCACAAGAGGGGGAGGAATGAGGTGGAGCGGTGGGCGGTGGGCGGTGGGCGGTGGGCGGTGGGCGGGCTTAATCCCAGGACCTCTCACTTCTGGAGGGTTTTTCTAGCCCACTAGGACACTGACACTGGGGGGTAGAGCCATAAATACAGCATGTATTCTGGTCCAGACCTTTTAGCAAATGGTTATGGCCATTGCCATTGGCATGGGTTGGTCCCAAAAGAAGTACCTTGAGCATAGTCAGTACCCAAAGCTCACCTGATTGCCGGTGCGCACAGGCAGCTCACCTCATTGTGAGTGCCGTGTCCAGCTCTCTAACAGCTTGCCGCGCCAGGGCCAGCAGAAGCAAGCGACTGGAATGGCCTCAGAAGCAGTACGTCGAGCACAGGCAGCTCACCTCGTTGTCGGTGCCGTGCCCCAGCTGCCCGTATTGCGGCAGGCCTGCTGTCAACAAGTTGGCCGCACAGGGGGGCTCGGAGGGGGCAGCAGCAGCAGCAGAAGGTGGGGTGGCAGTGGTTGATGAAGGTGTGGAGGAGGGGGTGGTGATCCAGCAGGAGAACTCGGCCCCACATGCCACGGTGCGCACGGCCTTCACTGTGCTCTGCACTGGCTTCTTCTCGTTCTCTGGGCAGAGGATGGGCGGACAGGGGTTGAGGAAAGGGGGGAGGAAAGGAGGGGGTTAGGAAAGGAGGAGCAACGGAGGGGGTGAGGAAGGAGAGGGAGCGAAATCTATCTTTTGGTGAGGAGACGAAGCAAGCTCATGAAAGAACTAGCATTCTAGAGAAAGAAATAGATTAGAAAGGGAACCAAGAGGCTCTATAGTACAAGCAAGGAGCAAAGGGATGGTTGGAAGGGAAGCTTCTCTCATTGGCTACAATTGTGGCAAATGGGAGAGACTGCTTGAAGGGGAAGCAACCCCAAAGTGTGGTGGTTGCTGATTGGTTGAGCCTTGAGCACGAGCAAATCCAATCTTGACCAACCCAGATTGTGGTTGGTGAACCCAACCCAACCAACAACCCGCCAATAAGTGAAATGACTTCATTCCCTATTCTAGCCTACGTATGTTGCTTATGTAGAAATATTATAACAGTTCGAAGCTTCTAGACGAGGGGAGCTGTATGTGCAGTGAGGCGGGCCTCTTGCAATGAAAATGGCAGACGGATGGGCATGGAGATGGAGGAGTAGGGTGGAAACCTTTTCACTCATTCCTTTTTATCCAGGGTGACTTTTGAGTCAACTCAAAAGTCTCCAGGGAAAAGAACCAGAGTAGTGGGAGAAAAGGAAGGAGGGAAGGAAGAAGTGAGGAGAAGGAGAAAAAGAGGAGGACGCAAGGAGAAGGAGGGAGGAGGGACCTGTTTTGAGGGAGCCAATGCCGAGCTGGCCGTACTTGTTGGACCCCCACGCCCAGGCACTGCACGCAGGAAGGCAGGTGGGCACAACGGCAGGAGGAGAGAGAGAGTAGGCCCATACACTCCCTAGGCCGGTTTTACCACGTAACTGTACCCCGTCCCGTTGCCTAGTTTGTACCCAGGATTCAGCAATACGAAGGACCACTTGAGAGAGAGAAAAAAAGGTGACATGGCAGGAGGCAGGTAGCACCCCCCTGTGGGTACCCCCGACGCCGACATGGCTCTCGGGGACTGCTTTGCTGTGGCGGAGCCCCTAGGGGAGCTCCAGTAGGCTAGGTTCCCCTTAACATGCACGTACCTTGCCCTGCCGTCACTCTGCATGCCTAGCCTGTACTTAGTGTTCCAGCAATAAACGGACCGCTTGAGAGAAAAAAATGTGGCTGAAAGGGTCTGAATTGGTGTGGCAGTTTGCATGGCGGTTGGCTCAAGCACCAACAGCCATGCGTGACTGGTGGTGCTGCTCTCTCGGCTAAAGTGGTCGGCTGATTTATGTCAGTTCCCACTGCTGAAACGCAGCTTCACTCACAACACACCCAAGCCCACACAGAGATGTACAAACCCCCAGCCCTCGCACGCTTCCCATCCCCCCCCACCCCCCCCACCCCCCCCACCCCCCCCTTCCCCCCCAGCACACAACAGTCCTCCAAGGCAGTGCCTACCTGCCGTCCTGTGCAACAGCAAGGGAGTGGTTGCGGCCAGACGCCACGGCCACTATTCTTGTGCTGGTGGGGGAGAGAGTGGGACGAGGGGCACATTGAGGGAGTTGGTTGGCACACAAAGAAAACGCATTGCAGGGCCGCAATGATGTGATTCACGCAGCAGCTTTGGCACAACGAAATCTCAGGGTCCTGACCAACCAAGCCCCTTTGAGAGGAAACAGGTAGCGGGGTGTGAATGGGTCACCTAGGCTCGTGCATGGATGGCAATCCAGAGGCGTGCTAGAGAGGATATAGAGAGAAAGAGAGGCTATAGAGAGAAAGAGAGGCTATAGTGAGAAAGAGAGGCTAAAGAGAGAAAGAGAGGCTATAGAGAGAAAGAGAGGCTATAGTGAGAAAGAGAGGCTATAGAGAACGAGAGGCTATAGAGAGAAAGAGAGGCTATAGAGAGAAAGAGAGGCTATAGTGAGAAAGAGAGGCTATAGTGAGAAAGAGAGGCTATAGAGAGAAAGAGAGGCTATAGAGAGAAAGAGAGGCTATAGAGAACGAGAGGCTATAGAGAGAAAGAGAGGCTATAGAGAGAAAGAGGACTATAGAGAGAAAGAGAGGCTATAGAGAGAAAGAGAGGCTATAGAGAACGAGAGGCTATAGTGAGAAAGAGAGGCTATAGAGAGAAAGAGAGGCTATAGAGAGAAAGAGAGGCTATAGTGAGAAAGAGAGGCTATAGTGAGAAAGAGAGGCTATAGTGAGAAAGAGAGGCTATAGTGAGAAAGAGAGGCTATAGAGAACGAGAGGCTATAGAGAGAAAGAGAGGCTATAGAGAGAAAGAGAGGCTATAGAGAGAAAGAGAGGCTATAGTGAGAAAGAGAGGCTATAGAGAACGAGAGGCTATAGAGAGAAAGAGAGGCTATAGAGAGAAAGAGAGGCTATAGAGAGAAAGAGAGGCTATAGTGAGAAAGAGAGGCTATAGAGAGAAAGAGAGGCTATAGTGAGAAAGAGAGGCTATAGAGAGAAAGGGAGGCTATAGTGAGAAAGAGAGGCTATAGAGAGAAAGAGAGGCTATAGTGAGAAAGAGAGGCTATAGAGAGAAAGAGAGGCTATAGAGAGAAAGAGAGGCTATAGTGAGAAAGAGAGGCTATAGAGAGAAAGAGAGGCTATAGAGAGAAAGAGAGGCTATAGAGAGAAAGAGAGGCTATAGTGAGAAAGAGAGGCTATAGAGAGAAAGAGAGGCTATAGTGAGAAAGAGAGGCTATAGAGAGAAAGAGAGGCTATAGAGAGAAAGAGAGGCTATAGAGAGAAAGAGAGGCTTGGAGAGGGATGGGGACGGAGAGAGAGAGAGAGGCTCAAGAAGGGAGAGAACGGGGGTGAGGGGAGAGGTGGTGGGGGTTGGGGTGGTGGTTGGTCCCCACCCTGCAAGGGCTTCAATGATGGTGGGCTGATTGAGGTCCGTGAGATGTCCGTGCGCCAGCTGACCACACTGCATGCATGCATGCATGCGAACATGGGTGCATTCCAGTATTGGTATGTGAATGCATGGGTACACGAATGCATAACATAAAAGCATGAATGCATGGGTACACGAATGCATAACATAAAAGCATGAATGCATGGGTACACGAATGCATAACATAAAAGCATGAATGCATGGGTACACGAATGCATAACATAAAAGCATGAATGCATGGTACAAGCATGCACACATGCAGCAAAAGCCTCCTATTTGCTTAAAACATTGCAGCTTTCAGTCCCTACTGAATCGTGATCACTCGCTTCCTCTCCCACCTTCGCTATCCCCTCAGATTTTACCAACTGAATCTCCCTCCCCCCCCCTTCCCCTCCCCACTCCCCCTCCCCACTCCCCCTCCCCACTCCCCCCACTTCCCATTGACTCCTCCCAACCTACTCCGCCCGTTTCCCCGTTCCCCCCACCTCGTTCCGCCCCCAGGAGTAGCAGCGCCCGTCCGCATCCACCGCCAGGCAGTGAGCCGCCGCTGGGGGGGAAGGGTTGGGGGAGGCGGGGGGAGGGGGAGGATGAAAGGGAGAGGCGGAAGCGGGAAGTGGGGAAGCGGAAGGGGAGAAACGACAGTGGGAGTGACAAAAAGAGTGGAATGTCCCAGCGGGAGTAAAACCCTCATTCCAGAGCCAGAGCCCCACGCACAGGGCTGCATTGGCCGACGCTCGAACCAATGACCGCTGCGAGACGAGATGAGAACAACGACAGGCGGACGCGGAGAAAAGAGACAGTCGGCGGAACGCCGTGCGGCGCAAGGAACGCCGTGCGGCGCAACAGAAATGACGGCAAGGAGCCCAAACGGGGCCGAGCGCAGGACAGTTGCCCTCCCCGACCAGCAGCATACCGCATCCAGTGGCCACAGCGACGATCCGCACGTCCTTCAGCGGTGCGAGTCGGTGCGGCTCGGTGAGCAGCGGGAATCGTGCGGCGTCCTTGGCGGCTGCTGCGGCCGCGGCGCCCTTGCCCTTGCCCTTGCTTTTCGCATCCGACCGTCCGATCGTGTGCCAGTCCGTTCCCCCACAGAACAGCACCTCGCCCGTGATTGGCTCGGGATCCGCCGCGTGGCCCGCATTCTCGTCTTTCGCCGTCATTTGCGTGAAACGAGGTCGATTTCGTGCTTGCAATGCGGAGCTTATGGTGAAGGGTGAAACTTGGAAGGTTGGCTTGGCTGGCAGCACGCGAGATGAAGGAGAGGAGATGGGCGGATTGGAATGGGACCAGGAGTCCCGATTCCGTCAACTCGGTAAGGTTACGAAGGCGGGTGCAAAAGTGCACTTTCGCCTAGAGGGCTCGAATGCTATTGTACATCTTTTAACATCTTTACCTTAATGTACAGTAGTCACTCATGCACCACTCAGCGATGCCAAAAAACCAAAAAATATATGACAGCGATGCCAAAGAGCCCTGCTAATCAGTAGGCAAAGCACGTACTATACCGACCGAATCTCATTGACGGTGTGTCATGTTAGCAAATTGAGCACAATAGCACGGCAAGGAAAGCTGCTACTGTCAAAGGCCAGGCTATGCAATGTTATTCAACACATTGAGGGAGATGACCGATGGTCGCCTATGAAGAGTAATCTCTTGAAATGTCGATCATGGCTTCACAGGTCGATAACCCATTGTGTACATGGAGCACACTGGTAGCTCCCACACCGCACCCCCATGCTCCCTTCTACAAGGGTAGCTGGATGGTCTGCTCTGCTGCTAGGCGTGACTTGCGGTACTGGGACTGGCTTTAGCACACTGCTACGTTGCACCCTTTTTCTTTCGTGCCTGCAGATCTCCCCACACATCATCGTCGTCATCATCGTAACCACCACCGCCGCCACCATTACCATTACCATCAGCACTGTGGTCAAACTTCCTATCCTCACCAAACCCGAACCCAGGACCATAATTACCTCCACCAACTCCATACTCATACTCCACTCCCAGTCCTTCTCCCCCTCCTGCTCCCCCCTCCTCATTTCCGTACCCCTGCTCTGTCGCATACCCTCCCGGATGCTCCTCTGCCTCAGGTGTCACCACTACAGCGGCAGCAGCAGCAGCGCCTGCCCCATCGGCACCTCCCCCAAACGACCCTCTGACCAGCCTATCCCTCCACTTCTTCGCCTTGCTTCCAGTCAGCGGACTTCTAGTAGCCGCCGCAGCCACTGCTGCCGCTGCCGCTGCCGCAGCTGCTGCTGCTGCCGACGCAGCAGAGCGCACACTCTTCCCATCCCCTCCCCCACTCCTCCCCCCCGTTCCCCCTCCTCCCCCTCCCCCTCCCCCTCCACCTGTTCGCCTACTACTACCAGCCACGCGGGGAGTTCCAACCGTCTGCTCATGATACCCCTGATCTGAGTCCCTTCCCTCATATCTCGCCCTCTCCTTCTCACTCCCCCCTTTCCAGAAGCCCCGTTTGGGAGTGGCCGGGCTGCTAGACGCACTGACATTGACGAGATTCAGCGACGCGCTGCCCATGCTAACACTGCGCTGCACCTTGCGCCGCCGCCCCGCTCCCGATGCCGTGCCAGCACCGCCCCTCTCCCTCTCTCTCTCCCGCTCTCCCTGTCTGCTGCCAGCAGTGCCTTTCCCAGCAGCAGCAGCAGAGGCGAGCATGGTGTGCTTGAGGTCCTCTAGAGCTGGGAGCTGCATAAGGGGGTCGGATTCGGACCGAGGGATGAGAACCCCACTGCTGCCATCACCACCAACACCACCAGCATCTGAACTGCTTGCAGCAGCAGCGCCGGTGCCAGCGGCAGCACGGCCAGCCGCAACGTATGCTGCTGCCGCTGCAGCAGCTGCAGCCAACTCTGCATCCGTCTCGCCCCAGAATCCCCCGCCACTACTGCTCCGCCCCACACCGCCCCTCCCTTCACTAGACCCACTGTTCACCACGCCTCCCTCACTCCAGCTCCGCTCCACTAACACCCTGCTGCTGCTGCCGCCGCTGCTGCTGTTGACAGCACCAGCAGCACTCCCAGCACTGGTGGCAGTGGCGTTCCTGTTGCGGGACAGCACGGAAGTGACCATGCGCAGGGGCGACCGTGACATGCGGCTGCTGCTCTCCGCTGCCACCACCTTATCCCTTGCTCCCCCACCCCTGCCTCCGCCCCCTCCGCCCCTCCTGTCCTTCTCCTTCCCAGCCTCCCACCATTCTGCCCCAGACTGCTCACCCCCTCCTCCCCTCACTCCTCCTCCACCACCCTTCCCCCGCTCCCTGTCTCCTGCCCTCCTCTCCCTCAACCCCGGGGAAGCTCCCCCGTCTCGTCCCTCCCCTCTGCCCCTTTCAGTACCAGCCCCCGCATGCCCTTCCCATGAATCCTCTTCTCCTACGCCCCTCCCGTCCCTCCCACCGCGTGCGTCCCTTCTGTCCCTCCCGTCCGGTCGTCTCGTGCCCTTCCCTGCCACGTCACCAGAGATGAGGATCTTTGGGATATCCTCCCATCCTGCCCCCCTTCGCCCCTCCCCAATCCCTTTCTCCACATACACGCTGCTCTCACCCTTCTCGCCCCTCTCCCCCTTGTCACTCTTCTCACTCTTCTCGATTTTCCCTGCGGCTATTTTCCCTCCCTTCTCTCCTCTCCACCCCCCCTTCTCACGAGCCCTCTGCGCCTTTGCTCTTTCCTTCTCCCTCTCCCGCTCCTCCTCCCTCTCTCTTTCCTTCTCCCTCTCCCTATCTTCTATCTGCTGCAGCCGCCACGCCCTCCTCTCCGTCATATCCTCTTTCACTTTCACCACCATCCCCCCCCACCCCTCCCCAGCCACATAGCTACTCCGTTCCCCTCCATACTTAGCCAAAAACTGCTCATCCGTCTCCTCATACCCCCCAATCCCCCCCACATCACCGCTCCCACCCCCTCCATACCCCCCTGACCCTTTCCTGAAGCTACCTCCGCTACTGCTGAGCGTTGAAGAGTCCAGGGATCGCGGGGAGAAGGTGGAGGAGGAGGGGCCAGAGGAGGAGAGGGGGGTGGGGATTGGGTAGGAGGGGGCGAAGGGCCCCGAGATGGGTTCCTCTACACCGCAGATGCGGCACAGCCCCAGGAGCACGTCTATGAGGGCCGCGTCCACCGCCTCCTTGCATGCATAGTAGAACGTCTGGGGGAAGGGGAGGCGCGCACGGTTGGACGGGTAGGTAGGGAAGATGGTGGAGAGTGGTGGGGGGAGTGGGGAGGGAAAATGACCATCCATCCAGCACAGCACGGCACGAGCTCACTGCGTCACATCCATCCCCCGCTCATCCACACCATCCCGGGCAAACGGGAGAAGAAGACTCTCCTTCCAACCCCTGGAGCCCTCCCCCATCCCCCCCCCTCACCCCCCCCCCTTTGCACCCACCCACACCACCCACCCACCTGTACTTGGAAGACGATCTCGTCAGCGCCCATGACGGTGCCTGGTGTGTGCAGCAATGAGATCGTGAGACTGACCTGCGCGCCATGGACCATGGTGGGCAGCAGCAGCAGTGCCGCTGTGAGAGGAAGAAGGCAAAAGCATCTGACCCACCCACCCATCCACACCACCCACCCACCTGCACTTGGAATACGATCTCGTCAGCGCCCATGACGGTGCCCGGCGTGTGCAGCGACTGCCAGAAGATGGTGTTGTGCGCCATGGTGGGCAGCAGCAGCAGCCCGCGCTTGAGGTTTGCCTCCACGCGCCCGTCGGGCAGGAAGTTCTCCGGGTCCTGCAGCTGGCAGCGCAGCGCGTGCTGGATGCTGCGCGGCAGCATGTCATACAGCTCGTCCCTGAAGGAATAGTTGGTGGGGGCGGGAGAAGGGGAAGGGGGCGGGGGGGAGGGGGTGGGTTGGGGTGTTAGTGCGAGGAGCCAGAGTCGGGGTCGTGCAGGAGGCAGGGCAGCGCAGCGCGGGCAGGATGCTGTGCGGAAGAATGTAGAAGGGCTGCTCCCTATGGAGAAGGAAGGAGGGGCCAGCCCTACTACATTCTTGGGTATAGGAAGGAGGGGGGAGGTGAAAGGGGGAGCAGAGGGTGTCTGGGCTCTTGGGCATGGGCTGTGGGAGCACGCCCTGGAGGCTGGAGGTCGACCATGACATGCACCTGGTGGGTGGGTCCCATGACAGTGCCCGGCTGCTGGATGATCCTCTCCAGCAGCACCACCACGTTCGGTTCGGGTAGTGCGGCAATGCCAGGCCCCACGCCCCCAGTCACGCCTCCATTGTGGCTCCCAGCAACAGGGTTACCAGGCCGTAACACCCTACCTGGTGGGTCCCATGACGGCGTCTGGCTGCTGGATGATCCTCTCCAGCAGCACCACCACATTGGCATAGTGCAGCGCCAGCCCCCACGCGCCCAGCGACCCCACTGATAGGGACGGCGCCGCGTGCAGAGAGGGAGGCGAGGGGGAGGAGGCGGGGGGAGGACCGAAGGAGGAGAAGATGCGGCGGCGGATCATGCAGAGGGCCGCCACTAGCAGCTGAGGGGAGGGGAGGGCGGCACAGGAGGGGGGGGTGCACAGGGTGGGGAGAGGTTGGGAAGAACGGATGGAGAGGGGTTTAGGGGGAGCTACTAGCAGAGGGGAGGGTTGATCCGTGTCGGGAGGAGCAAAGGGCGAGGGGCAAGGAACGAGGGGCAAGGAACGAGGGGCAAGGAACGAGGGGCAAGGAACGAGGGGCACAGGAACGAGGGGCACAGGAACGAGGGGCACAGGAACGAGGGGCACAGGAGGCAGAGGGGGGAGCGACAGAGGAGAGGGAGGCAAGGGGAAAGAAAGATGTGAACGTGTTAAGGGTGTGCAGAGAGGGATGGCAGTGCGACTGCATGTGTGTGCGACCTGCAGCAGGTAGTCAAGGTCGAAGGACCAGAGGCAGTGCGACTGCAGCTTCTCCACTGACTTGCCCTGCTCGCACGCACACACACACACGCACACACACAAACACACGCACACACACAAACACACACAAACACACGCACACACACAAACACACGCACACACACAAACACACGCACACACGGGGGCCACACACGCACGCGCATACGCACGCACACACAGACAGGGGGGGGGGGTGCAGGGGGGAGAAAGGACAGAAGGGGCAGACAGAGCAGAAAGACGAGATGCAGTTGACGGCAGTTGTGTCATGCCGGCACCTTGTGGTGCAGGCTGAGGGTCAAAGTGAAGGGTAGACGGGGTGAGTGTAGTGAAATAGCTGCGACAGGAGACTTGGACTTGCGAGACTAGAAGGTACCTGCGCCACCATGTCCTGCAGCTTGTTCCACTCGCCGTACTCCTGAATGCTGCCACACCGGGATATGAAAAAGCGGGAATATGAGGGCACGGGATATGAGGGCATGGTATGTGTGGGCATGGGATATGTGTGGGCATGAGATATGTGTGGGCATGAGATATGTGAGCATGGGATATGCGGGCAACATGGGCACGGGATATGGAAAGCAGGGATGGAGGGGGGCCGAGGAGTGGGAGGAAACAGGAGGCAGTGAGATGGTTCAGTAGTGCGCTGCAGAAGTGGATTTAGATGACAGCGCTGCGCACGCAGGTGCATGTGCACGCGTATGCGTATGGGTACATAGACATGCATGTGCATGTGCATGTGCATGGATGGCATGGGCCTGTGTGAGCGTGAGTGAGCATGAGTGAGCATGAGTGAGCATGAGTGAGCATGAGTGAGCATGAGTGAGCATGAGTGAGCATGAGTGAGCATGAGTGAGCATGATCACCGGTGGTGCAGCTGCTGTATGGCTTCCATCTCTGACTTGAGCCGCTCGGTGGCCTCCGCTTGCTCCTTCATGAACCTGCCATGCCATGCACGCAACCATGCAACACATGCCATGTGGCAGATGCGGTAGGAGCAATGAGTCCCTCGAGCTGAAACTACTGCATGGAAGCGCTGCTCTGGAGCAACACGTGGACGAAGACAACAAAGGGGACGCACAGTAGCCACACGCCCGATTCGCCATGCAGCAATCCCCCTTTGACTTCCCCAGGCGGGCCCTCCTACTTGATGCCAGCACCCCTAAAACCCCCTTCTTCCCCACTCTGCAAACGTCTCAGCTCAGCACCCCCTAATGCCCAGGCCATCGGTTCTCACTCACTTGATGAGCGCGTCTGCCTCGGTGGGCGAGACGGCGAAGTGCGAGAGGTCGGAGTCGGGGCAGTGCAGCAGCGGGAAGAGGTCGCCCAGCGTGTGCAGCCGTGCACTGCGGCACTTCCGCCCCAGCACCGCCACGCGCGCCGCCACGCGCTGCAGCTCCAACAGCTTCTCCACGCCTGGGGATAGAGGAGGGGGGGGAGGAAAGGGTAGGGGGAATTGGGGGGGGATGGGAGGGATGGCGTTATGTTACGCGACTCAAGTGCCCAGCAGCGCCACGTGCGCCGCCATGCGCTGCAGGTCCGCTGCGGGACAGCGGCAAGTGGGAGACATGGGAGTTTGAGACGAGAGGGGGAGAGCGGGAGCGGGAACAGAAAGTGGAGAGGAAAGGGGGTGGAGGACCATATGGTTTGGAAATGGCATGGGATGGCATGGTATGGTATGGTATGGTGTGATATGGACCATATGCTCTGTATAAGGCATGGCATGGCGTGGCATACCTGCGAGGTTCCATAGCAGTCTGAGGTCGCTGGAGACGAGGGTGACGACGCCAGGTGCCTGCAACGCGACATGCACACACGCACACGTGGGGGAGGAGCACGCGGGTGAATGGTGGGCACACGGGTTGAAGGTCAACCGGGTCTGACGGGGAGGAGGAGAGAAAGGAGAGAGAGAAGAATGGACAGAGAGGTGAGGGAGGGGAGAGACGAGAGAGGACAGAGAGACGAGAGGAATGCACGTGCTTGGAAATCCGTGCTTCACCTGGAGGTTGGATCGCAGGGAGGCGAGGGTCTTCTCCCCCATGGAGTCGTATATCTCTAACGACCGTCTCATCACACTCCCTATCTCGAACGCCAATACTTCCGTCTTCACGCTCCCCCCCCGCCTCCCCCTCCTCCTCCTCCACTCCCCAGGCTCCCCCCACCCCGCCTCCCACGCCCCAGAACCCCTTAAAGCCGCCCCCGGGATTCGGCGGGAACATTCTTTTGACCATCTTTTTCAGCTGCCCGTCGCCTAGACCTATCAGGGACGGCGAGCCTAGTCGCAGGGGGGACGACTCCTGAAGCCCGAACGACCATTTTCCGGAATCTCCTCCGCCCCCTCCCGCTGCCTTGCTTCCCCCGCGCCCGGGGCTCATTAGGCCCCCCCCAGGCATGCGCCAGCCGGGGCTGGAGGGCGCGGGGAGCGGAGTGCCGATGCGCCTACTGTTGCTGCTGTTGCTGCTGTTGCTGCTGGTGCTGTGTTTACTGCTTCCGCCGCTGCCACCGTTGCTGTTACTATGCGAACCAGATGCAGGGGAGGAGGACGAGGAGGTAACGGTGCTTCGGTGCCGTTGTTTCTGGTCGCTAAGCGGGGGAATGCCACTCCGCGCACTACTGCTTCCACCGCCGCTTTCCCCCTCCGCCTCATCCGCTCCCCCCCCGCCCGGAGACTCTCCGCCATCCGCCTCGTGCGCGGAGCCCCGCGGGCGGCGCTGGCGACTGGGGGTGAGGAGCTGGTTGATGTTCCTGTACATGGTTGGGGGGTCTTGCGCGCTTGTGATAGTAACGCGCGTGTCATGCAAACGCGCTTTGGTGGGTTTACAGAGGGTAAAGGAAATGAGCGGAGGACAGGCGTAGCGGCAGCTAGTCAACCAATACGAGAACTTCCGAGGAAACAACGAAGGAACGTCGACGATGACGATGACGATGACGATGACGATGACGTCGACCAGTTTACGAGCGAGGTGATCGACGCATGGCTGCACTAGCGAAGCTGCAGAAAATGGGAGAAGCAGCTACTACGAGCAAGGTAGGATGGTAAGGCAGGGAGGTGGTGACGTCAGATGGTGACGTCAGACGGTGACGTCAGAGACGAGGAACGGTGGTTTGAGCATTGTAACGCCGTTTACACAGAGAGAGAGAGAGAGAGCTCAAGCGAAGCTCTTTCCGCAACGACCGGCGAGATCTATGGAGTGGCATTGACGGCCATGGGAGGTCTACGCCGTCCATCACAATGTTCACTAGCGTCCTTCCGGGAAACGACGATAAGCCGGAGGTAGTTCATAAGATGCTGCAAACGAGGCTTTCGGCTGCGTCGATTTCGGAGGATAAGCGGGAGAAACGGAGTCGAGCAGGTATTCGTCGTACGGCGGGGACTGAGAAGTAAAGCCGCATTGTACAAATGTGCTCTTTAATCGGCGACTCCCGAACTTGCCGCTGAAAGCACAAGCGACGGAGATAAGCTTCGTACACAAAATCTAGACTGTTGGGAAACTCGCAAACCCCTAAGCGAAATGCACGATACTGCTGCACGATCCCTACGCTTCACGCTTTACGTTGCGGTCACAAGCAGAGAGCGTTATCCTAGCGCGAACCGTAAGCTAGCGAGTGACCTCAGTCATGTAGGCGAGGGGAAGACGACGAGAAAGTGCCAGATTCGTGACGGATGGAATGGCGGCTGAGAAGGACTGTGGGTGGGAAGCTGCAGGACGGGACGAAGGGCGGTCCCAGTTGGGAAGGAAGGACTAGTCACACACGAACGAACGACTCACTCACTGGTGACCAGAGGTGGCGTCAGTGAGGACGCGCTACCATAAGCGATTTCAGACGCATCGGTGTTTATTATCGAGATTCAATATCGATTTTTGACAAAGGCATCCGAATCGATATTGCACACCGATTTTACAGATCAACTTTGGAGTCAGTCACAGTACCGCGCAACCGATACGCCCGGTCCCCACACATTGACGGTGCTTTGGCAGCCAGCAATAGCCGACATCATATGATGTTCGCAAAATATAGGGCAACCCAGATTGACGTTCGCGAATGTCAACCATGCCCCGAGCACCCCAGTTTCTTCGCGACGTGGGTTCGTTTCGAAACATGTGGCGCCTCCTGAACTCCCGTTTTGTCGCAGAATTTGCCAGATCCATGATTGGAACTTCTGCTGTGTGCCTGCGGGCTGGTCAATCGACAGTCGATGGGCTTGGCCGATGTGGCACATCGATCCCCAAAATCGATCAGCCTCGTTAACCATGTCTTGTTTTTTACTGTATTCAGGTTACCAGGTGGCTACCCAATAAATATCGATATTCAGACGCACCGAGGTAACACATCCTGAGAGACGAGGCGGAGGAGTGGCCTGGTTGGGGGAAGGGGAGAGGGACTTGGAATGGGACGGGGCCCTCGCCTGGGCTGGGAAGGTTGGGGAGGAGGGGAGAAGTGCCAGCCAGCTGCCAGAGGGGCTCGCCCTCTCCCCCAAGGGAGGGAGCCAGGGGACAGGATGAAGGGCGATTGTCAACAGAGCTGAAATTTGAGGCGGTGCAACGGACGTCCACCGTACGCCACGCTCAAAACCCGAACCAATCGGTTACTGCTGCCCAATTGCTATTTTTTACTGGCGGTATGTATTTTGTTTAAAAAGCTCACCTTGCGTTTTGTATAGTGCATTTATTGACCAGAGACTGAAACGTGGAGGCAAAGAGTAAAAATGGGCACCCCATACCTGCTACATAGTTACGTATGTTACCATGGAACTCCACTTCGAGCCCATTTGTGGGTGGCGAAGCCATGCGAATTCTGATTCGTATTTTGGCTTACGCGATTTGCGGAAGTATTGTGCGTAAGGTGACAAATGATTGTATTGTACAGCAGTACCGTACGGTAGTGTGTGGGTGGTGGGCTGGCTCTTGGAATGAGTTGAAACGATCCCGAACAGACTGGCAGCACTGGATCGTACAGCCACAAGGTCGGCTGCACTTCACTGTTCATTACTCCACAAACCAGAACGGGGAGGATGCTCACAGTGCAGTTACAGTGGCAGCATTGAGCGGCAAGCAACATTCCTGATGTGTACAGTTTGGCCCAATCGCAAAGTGTGCGTTCGTACGGTACGAGGGGTGTGCTTGGTGAAGCTGCTGCTGCTGCTGCTGGCCCCAAAAGGTCCACCACGGCGACGCTATTTCCACCAGTGCACCCTGAAAGCAATCTCCTCTGGAGCAGCTAAATGTTGTTGAGTTCCGTTACGTACACACCGTGAAAACACGGGCAGGGAAGGAACACAAAAGCGCCAACGGGGCGAATGGCACCAACATCTGCAGCGAAACATCTGCTACCCAGCGTGTCAAGGACACCGGGTAGGTATTGAAACTTGTGTCAGGTACAGTTCAGCCCTGAGTTCCGTTCCGAGCCGAGCACATACGACAGAATCAGGTAGGTTTATGACCCAAATTTTTGTGTCAGGTACAGTTCAGCCCCGAGTTCCGAGCCAAGCACATGACGACAGAATCAGGTTGGTTTATGACCCAATTTGTTCATAATCCTTCGGCTGGAGTGTACCTGCTTGTACTACATATGGAAAGCAGACACGAGGTTAGGATCTACAACAAATGTTCACTATTGCTAGTGCCGCAACCTTTGCTATTCATGTGGTTTGGAAACTCCAGTCTAGTGCGCAGCACGAGGAGGATAAGCAGGGGAAGAAACACCGGAGCTTGCAGCAGGGGTAGACGTGTCAATCTGCACGGTGTACTGAGGATTGCTTTTCAGCTGCTGCTTGACTTTATCCAGCACCGTAAACGACCGCCGCTGGGCTCCTCTCACCAGATTCAGCAGCTCCTGAGCCTGGATGGGGTGTTGTTGAGACAGACAAACAAGTAGAGGATACAGGGCAAAACGTTACAGTACATCAGAACCAAGGAAGCATCGCAGGATGCGGGAGACACAAACAGACAAACCGTCCTCCACTCCACTCTTCCCTTCCAGACGCCCACCTTAGTCCGAGCTCGGCTGCTCTGCCCCACCCCATCCACAACCTCTATCAGAGCCGGCAGCACTGCTTCTGCCACAATAGCCCTCAACCACTCCGCTTCTGCCTTTGCCAGCAGCAGCAGCGCTGCCCCGGCATTCTCCCTGCCCAGCATAGTCCCATCCTCCAGCACTCTCCCGAGCACCGCAATTCCTCCGCTCTCCACAATAGCCTCTTGCCCTTCCCGCACGGACGCCAGTGATGAGAGCAGCAGCACGCAGTCATCTGCTAGCATGGACTTCGAATCTTGCTCCCGCACCACCGAGAGCAGGCACGGAACAGCGCCTGCGGACACTATCAGGGCCTTGTTCGGGCGGTAGACGGAGAGGTAGTAGAGGACGCGGAGGGAGATGCTGTGAGGAGGGAGGGGATGCGGCGGGGCAGGGGAGACGTGGAAGGAGAAGGAAGGGGAGACGAGGGGGAGTGCGGGGCACGTGGAGGCGAAGAGGCGGACGAGAGGGGGGATGGCGCCCAGGCGCCCGATCTCCTTCTTCATGTCGTCGCTCTTTGCCAGGCTGAAGAGAATGGCCGCTGCGTGCTCCTGGATGGCGAAGCATGTCTCGTTGCCACCACTGCCGTAGCTGCTGCTGCCGGTGCCGCTGGCAAGCACCCCGAGGGATGCTTGCATTGCGCTGGCAAGGCGAGGGGGTGGGGTGCTTCCAGAGGAGCTCGAACAACGAGCAGCAGCAGCAGCAGCAGGAGGAGCAGGAGCACTAGCACTAGTGTCACTGTGTGGAGCAGCACTAGCATCAGCATCATGATCCCCAGCAGAAGCAGCAGCATTTACAGCAGCGGAGGGACCAGCAGTGCTGCCTTGATTCTGGTCCTTGAGGACCCTCGTGCCGGCCCCACTGGGAGGAGGTGGCCTCTTGCTGCTGCTGTCGCCGCTGCTGCTCCTGCTGTTCCTGCTGTTGCTGCTGTTGTTGTTCCGTACCTCCAACACCACACCCCCCATCCCACCCGGAGCATCACCACGCCCAGCAGCATCAAATCCAGCAGCTTCGCCACCACTGTCCCTAGCACCGCCACCACCACCACCACCAGCACCACCAGCGCCACCAGCGCCACCTGTGCTTGCAGCTCCGGCTGCAGAAAGACTGCCAAAACGGCCCTCCCCATGAGAAGAACCCCTCCTCCTGTGCTCACCTCTCCTCCCCGCACTCCCACTGTCCCTCTCACTGCCCTGGCTGCTCGTATCCTCCCGCATGTCCCCTCCCCCTGCTTCCACCAGAGCATCTATGACCGGCCCCACTGCGCCTACTGCTTGCAGAAGCTTCCGGCTCACATCCTCGATTGCCAGGTTCCTGACGGCGGCTGCTGCGCTTTCCACTAGCGCTGGGTGCCGCGCGGCTTTTAGCAGAGCGAGCAGCGGCGGGATTCCGCCGGCCACTGTGATGTGCTCGCGCCACCGGGCGCTGCGCTTAGCTAAGTGTCGGATAACCTCTGCAGCAGCGAGGATCCCCACAGGGTCTCCCTTAAGCATCTCACTCTTTAAGAGTTCGACAGGGTCCATTGCTGCCCCTGCTCGCTCTCTCAGAGATCCCTCCACTGCTGCTGCGGCAGCTGCTGCAGCAGTGGTGGCGGCTATTGCAGCAGTTGCTGTTGATGCAGTTGCTGCTGTGGGGGCTGGAGAGGAGGATGGGGAGGAAGAGGAGGATGAGGGTGCCGATGAAGGCGATGCACAAGATATAAATACCCCCTGTCGTGGCTCTTGCTCCTGCCAATCATGCACTGCTGCTGCTGCTGCTGCTGCTGCTGCTGCTGCTGCTGCTGGTGATGCTGCTGGTGATGAAGCTGCTGCTGCTGCTGCCCCTCCAGCTGCTGGGGTGCTTCTTCGTCCCCCCGCCCTGGGCCTTGCGGAGAGGGATGACGAGGAGGACGAGGACACAGAGGAAGGTGAGGACAGCGACGACGAGAACGATGCATCACCGTCTCCTCCTGCTCCCGCCGCTCCTAATGCTCCTCCTGCTCCCCCTGCTCCTGATGTCATCATGCCCATTCCCAACTGCTGCTGCTGCTGCTGCTGCTGTGGAAACATTCCTCCGAACACCCCACCTCCTTCTTCCCCATCTCTCCACCCGTCTCCCCGCCTACTCCCTTCAAATCCACCCCCACCCCCCTGGAATGAAAATGCTTCCGCCACCCGTCCTCCTTCTCCTTCCCCCACATCTTGCCCCACACGCTCACCCTCTCCGCCTTCCCCTCCCGCATCACCCTCGCCGCTCCTGCCCCCTTCCCACTCGTGCTGGTGAATAAACACAGGCCCCAGGTTGCCCCTGACCGCCCTCTCTCCTAGCCCATCAAATCCCTCTGCTGTACTACCGGGCACCAGCGCCCTGTATGGCAGTGCCAGCCGAGCCACAGACCCAGGAGGGAACTCAGACGCCGGGGAAGAGTCAGTGGGAGCAGATGGGTGGAGAGGTGACGGTATAGGGAAGGGCTGGTGGTGGGAAGGTGAGGGTTGGAGTGGAGGAGGAGGAGGAGAGGTGGGAGGAAGGTTGGGGAGAGCAGGGTATTGGTCAGGATCAGAGTGGTCGAAAGACGAAAGGAGGTCGGGGGAGAGGGAGAGAGGAACTGGGGTAGCGGTGAAGGTAGGAGAGGTGATGGTGATGGTCCTGGTGGTCGTCGTGGTGGTGGAGGTGGTGGTGGTTGCCATAATGCAAATGGCATCTGACTCAAGTGCATTATGCCTTGGAACGTCCGTGTGTGGCGGGCCATAGCCAGACAGTAGAGAAACAGGCATGCTGGGATCTAATGGGATCAGAGCCCGGGTTGCAGTGGATGGAGTGCAGCCGGGCTTGGGGTTATCAGTGGCGGGGTAGTGTCTGGTAGTCACCTTCGTATTGGGGCTGGAGCGAGGGGAGAATTTGTGAGCACTAGGCGGGCGTAGGGGAGGGAGGCGGGAACTAGGAGGGGAGGAGGGGGAGGAGGAGGAGGAGGAACGGGGAAATGCGGCAAAGGACCGCGGAGGGGGGGGGGATGAGGAGGAGGAGGAGCGTGGGAAGCGGGAGGAAGGGTTTGGGGCAAGGGAGGGGGGTGGGGGGGAAGCAATGTGTGAGGAACGTGCAGGGAGAGAGGGCAGTTGGTGAGAGGAGTGAGGAGCCGAGAGAGTGGGGGCGTTGGATGGTGAAGAGACAGGCAAAGCAGCACTAGCAGCTGCAGCCGTAATAGCTGCTGCTGCTGCTGCTGCTGCGGGTGCTGCTGCAGTAGGCGCTGTGGGCATAACAGCAACAGGTGGGAGCGCAGGCGCAGGTGCGACCATGAAAGCAGCAACGGAGGCTGCAAAGACAGCAGGGGTGGGCACCCCACTGGAGCTCAGCCACAGGCCAGTGGGCACGTGAGCAGCAGCAGTGGCAATGTTGGCACTCATATGCCGTGCATGCCCTCTCCTTAGTCCCTCCTTGCTCTCCTTGCTTTCTCTGCTCGCCCTTTCTCGCTGCATCACCTTCCCTGCACTACTGTACCTCCTCTCTTTCCTCGCCTTACTCCGCCCCTTCTCCTCCCTCTCGTCTCCCCTCTCCTCCCCTTCCCCTCTCTCACGCCCTGCATTTCCATCTCTCCCCCCTCTTTCGCCCTCTCCTCCTCTCCTCTCTCTGCTTTCTCGTCGCTCCCCTCTCGCCCGCTCTTCTCTCGCCCGTCCCCCACGCCCATCCCCCACTCTCGTCTCAGCCCCCTCATCTCCTCTCTCTTCTCCTCTCTCGTCTCCTCTCGCGTCTCGTCCGACCCTCTCCTCCTCACCTCTTTTCTCAAATTCCTTTTCTCTACTCTGTCTCCTCTCTTCCCTTACCCTGCCTGTACTTCCTCCCCGCGTACCCCCTCCTCGTTCTCTGCTCTCTCCCCTCCCCCGAACGCCATCTCCCCCCCCATTCACAACCCTATAACTGGAATCTTCATGACTGCGAATTCTTCTAGCAGGCATAGGCCCCCCTTTCCCCTTCTCTTCCCCTTTCCTGCCTGGCAAAATCGTCCCCTCCTGATCCCTCTCCCCTCCCCTCCCCCTCCTCCCCTCCTTACCGCCTCCCCCCCTCTCTCCTTCCCTTACACTATCCTTCTTTCCCTCTGCTCGATCTGCACTCCCCGCTGCAAACGGAGCCCCTTTCCCTACCGCAACTCTTATCTCCGCTAAGAACTGCCTCGCTAGCTCGCTTGTAACCCGCGGCTCCGCCTTCCCTTGTGCCTGCTGTGCTTTTTTCCCTTTGCTCTCTGCTCTGCTCACTCCCGCTCCTACGTGTGCATCGCTTATCCTATTCCCTCTCTCCTGCTGCTGCTGCTGCTGCTGCTGCAAATTCGTCTGCTCCTGCACCTGTCCTCGCTCTACCTCCTGCTGTTTCCGTGCTCCGTTGTGCAGTGCAGCGTGCATGGCTGCAGCAGCCAGCGCCATCTGGCCAACCCGCCCACTGCCACCCGCCCCTCCTGCCACACCCTTCTCCACTGCACCTCCCCCAACCCCCACCTTAAGACCTCCTTCCCCATATCCTCTACTTCCGCCTTCCTCTATCCCACCCCCTTCCGCTCCCCATTCCGCTCCCCCTTCCGCTCCCCCTTCCGCTCCCCCTTCTGCTCCGCCTTCCCCTCCGCCTTCCCCTCCGCCTCTTTCCCTTCCGCCCCTACCTGGCGCAGCAGCACCACTGCCCCCATTGGATTCCGAGTCCCCCTCATTCCCCATGCCATCCGCTGGCCGCACACCACCTTCGCTCCTCGTCTCCTCCTGCCCTTGCCTATCCCCGCGCTCACCCCCCGTTTCATAAACACCCTCGCCCAACCTCTTCAGTGCTGGCTCCTCCTCCCCTGCTGCTGCTGCTGCTGCTGCTGCTGGCGCATTTGCAGGTGCCACAGTTGCGTCCGATTGAGCAGTAGCAGCGTCTGAAGGTGCAGGCGAGGAAGAGAATGGCTGGGCCTGCGACCCAGCAGACAAAGGGCGGAGCCACGTGCCCCACATGCTGCCTCCCCTGGTAGCCGCACTCACAGCACTCAGCCCACTGGCAAACACAGCAGCCAAGGAGGAGGGCCCTCCGATGGGGCTGCTGCTGGCAGGCCCGGGAGCAGCAGCAGCAGCAGCAGCAGGAGGAGGAGGAGGAGGGGGAGGAGGAGGAAGAGGCGCGGAAATGGAATAATCATCAGCAGAATCAGCAGCACCATCATCGCCACGGCCATAGCCAGCACTGGCACAGTTGACAGCACCAGCTGCTCCTGCTTCTCCTTCCTCCCCTCCTCCTCCCTCACCTCCCCCCTCCTCCTCTCCTCCCCCCCTACCACTCTTCCCACGTTCTCCCACAGCTTCCTCCCTCTCCCCTCGCCCTTGCTCCCAGCCACGCCGCGAGCCTTGCCCACACGCCTTTCCATGCCCGTGCCCATAGTCCAACGCATACCCAAGCCCAAGTCCTTGCCCTTGCCCTTGCCCTTGCCCTTGCACGTACCCATATCCCATCCCAGGGCCCGACCCCGTGACCGCATATCCTGCTGCCCCCATGCCCGACGCTTCTCCCATCCACATCCCTGCTCCCATACCCATACCCATACCCATACCCATACCCATACTCATACTCATACCCATACCCATACCCACATTCATACCCATATCCCTACCCATGCTCCCCATGCCCATGCCCCCCATGCCTATGCCTGCCGCGGCCATGTGCCAGCGCGCGTCAGCGTAGCTACCCCCCTCCGACTCGGTCATAGACCCCGGCTCACCCACTCCCCCGGGGCCCAGGCACAGGCTGCGACTGCCCGCTGATGACGTGGACACGAACGATTGGCAGGCCGGCACGCCGCCCTCTGCGTCCTCGTCCTCGCCTGGCCCTCCATCACACACTAAGTCGGTACCAGGCCCCTCCTCCTCCTCCTCCTCCTCTTCTTCTTCCTCCTCCTCTGCTTCCTCTTCTTGTTCGTCTTCCGTCTCCCCCTCCCCTTCCGCCACCTCCTCTGCCCCGCTCTCTCCCTCTCGCTCCACTACTTCGCCGGTCACCCCTGTCCCTTCCAGCAGCCCTTCATTCCTTTGACCCAGCTTTTCTCCTCCATCGTTCCGACCCTCGCCGCCCTCATGACCCCCTCGTTCGGCCATCCCACCTCCCTTCATTTCCTGGCCTTCGTTCCCTCCTCTCCTCGCCCTTACTATTTCTGTCTCGCGTGCTTCTACTTCTGCTGCTGCCTGCTTCTGCGGCGGCTGCTGTTTATGGCGCTGCTACTGAAGCCTCGGAAAGCTTCCGCGGCTACTGGCCAGGGTGCATTGACGCGTGAGCGAGTGTCGCCACCGCCGACGGAGTGAAGTTTACCAAGTAGAGTTCTTAAATCCAGAGTGTTACTCGGAACGAGGTTCGGGGCTACATACGATCCTCCCGAAAGTCCCCCGTCTCTCCCTTAAGCCTAAAAGAACCCGGCATGCTGTCGCTGCCATCGACGCCGTTCTTGGACGCTGGTGGAGACTATTGCGGGCTGTGTGCTGAGTCGCACGGAGTCGCACTGAGTCGAACTGATTCGCGGAGAATTTTCTAATTTCCGCGCGAACGGAGATGCTTCATACGCGCGACGGCTTCGACTCGACGATGCTTCGCTCGTGCGATGCCGCACACGCTTGGCAAAGCGGCTGGAGGTCCAGGAACCCTTCGAAGGCCTTCGAAAAAGAAAAAAAAAGCATTCAATAATCAAACAAAGATAAATAACGAAGCACGGGGTTGTCTGGCAAGGAAGAGGGAGAATGCTGTGCAGCGGATGTGCTCGGAAACCGGAGGACGTGCACGGGACGTGTGAAAGACATATCTGGGCAATCTTGTGTTATCTTGGGGACTCGCTGTTTCAACAAGTCCAGCGCAGCTTGACCACCCAGTGGAATTGTGAGAGAGGTGCACTGGAGAAGAGAGTTGCGGCCATTTCAAGGCCACCAGATTACATGTAGCAGCCTTGTTGAGTACAGTGCATGTATACATTTCAAAAAAAGACACATCATTTCATGAGCTTGAGTGTAAATAAGGTACCATCATTCATTTTTCATGGACAACTAACCTGCTATCGTGCAAAATTATATTAATGGAAATTTATACCCATCGTGTGCTAAGATTTGTCATGCAATGATCTGACAAATCTATCAGAGTAGAAGAATGAATTAAAAGAGAGAGAACATGTGAATATACCTAAGGGTTGTACCCTATATAAGACATGACTCTATTCAGTCTATGCAAACATAGTAGATATACATGTTTGACCCACCCCCTAGACTGCATAGGGGCAGGTCATGACAAAACAGCTCAGGGTGGCACTACTAGTCCAGCCTCTGAGACAAGGGTCTAAAAGACCAGTCAGAAGGAGTACAGACAAGGCAAGAACAAGTACAGGGCGGCACTACTAGTCCAACCACTGTGAGAGGACACAAGTCCAGTCTGAGTGTACAAATATATAGGACAGTACAAAGTCAAGGCCCAAGCAAGTGAGAGACGACAGGAACTAGACCAAGCTGTACACAGTGCCGCTGATGATCTTTAGGCGCAAGTGCCTTCGTAAAGATATCAGCTGTGTTGGCACCTGAGGCCAAGTGTACTACGCGGGCCTGGCGTCGCTGCTGTAGCTCGCGCAGGAGGAAGTACCGCAGCTGGATATGCTTCGTTCTGCCCTCGAGTCGAGGCTCCTGACACAGGAGGATCATGGCCCTGTTGTCAGCGTACAGGACCGGGGCAGAGCTAGGCTGCTCACCTAAGTCAGCGAGCAAGAAGGTCAGCCAGCGGAGCTCCTGTGCCGCCATGGCACCGGCGTAGATCTCAGCCTCACAGCTGGACTGGGCAACAGACGATGAGCGGATAGCTCTTCACGAGACAGCACCTGAGCCAAGGCTGAAGCAGTAGCCCTGGGAAGACCTGAGCGTCTCGGCGTCGTCTGCCCAAGAAGCGTCTGTGTGTCTAGTCAGGACCACCGGCCTGCGTCCGCCTAGCACTAACCCCATGCCCAATGTACTTGCAAGATAACGCAGAACCCTCTTAGCGGCAGACCAGTGCTGAGGTCGGTGTCTGCCTATGGCCACAAAGCGCGCCAGGATGCTGAGAGGGTATGCGAGATCTGGGCGAGTGCAAGTCATCAGGTACATGAGGCAATCCACCAGCTCAGCGTAAGGACCACTGGGATCTACCGACTCCTCAGGAACTGGAGCGGAGAGTCTGTGGTCCAGAAGAAGAGGGGTGGGCTGTGCTGAGGAGAACTGAAGGCCGAACCTCTGAAGGACCTGGCGCACCAAGTGTGACTGAGTCAGGGTGATGGTGCGCGCGGCTCTGTCCCTGGAGATCTGCAAACCAAGGTAACGGCGCAGCTCTCCAAGGTCAGTGCAAGTGTGTCTCTTCAGCAGCTCTGCCTTCACGGAGGCCAGTGCGTCCCTGTCTGCAGTGGCGAAGACCAGGTCGTCTACGTAGACAAGGATGTAAAACGGAGTCTGGCCAGCACGAACAAAGAGTGAGGGGTCCGCAGAGGATGGAAAGAACTGCAGGTCAGCGAGGGTAGCACGCAACGTGTCGTGCCACTCACGGGGCGCCTGGCGCAGGCCGTAGACTGGGCGTCGCAGAAGCCACTGGGTCCCAGGAGGGAAGGCGCCAGTGAAGCCCTGAGGGCGACGCAGGTAGACCTGCTCGTGTAGGCTGCCCTGAAGGAAGGCAGTGGAGAAGTCGAGGGAGTGAAGCTCGTAGTCACGCTGAGCCGCTACGTGTAGCAGAACCCGAAGAGTAGTCATCTTCAGGGTAGGAGCGAAAGTATGAAAGAATTCCACCCCCTCGCGCTGACTGAAACCTCTAGCCACGTAGCGCGCCTTGAACACAGGCGGCTCTCCAGGAGGGCGCTTCACCTTGAAGAGCCAGCGGCCATCGACTACGTTCACCCCAGGTGGGGGAACTGCATCGGCGAAGGTGCCGGTGGATCTCCAAGATGCCATCTCCTGCTCCATGGCAACTATCCACTGAGAGGCCCAGGGTCCCGAAACCGCCTCAGCGTAAGTACGAGGGGTCGGGATGTCGAAAGCGTCTGGGTCACCCTCAGGGACTAGCAGCATGGAACAGAGATGGGGAGCAGCCTCGGACAGGAAAGCAAGCTCGAACTGGCGGTCCACCAGGATGTCACTACCGAGGGCAGGAGCACCCTCGACAGACGGAGGACAGGCAGGGTCAGAGACCAGAGTGGTGGCATAGTCAAGGCGGCGGGTAGAGGCGAAGTCAGCGACCGCAGCGACCAGGGCGTCAAGACTCGAAACCGGAACAGACGGGTCGGTAACGAGAGAGGCAAGGACCCGAGGAACAAGAGGACGAGCAGCACGAAAGAAGTCAGACAGAGGAGGAGACGCAACTGTAAGAGAAGACGGAGGAGGCGACGGGAGGAGGGGAGGACGAGACGCGTGGGAACGGGGCAACATAGGGTGAGAGCGCGGGGCGGGGGAGACAGGACGAGCACGGGAGGGACGGCGAGACCAGACGTGAGAGGGAGGCGTCGGGTCAGGAGACAGAGGAGGGGACACGGGTGGGGAACGAGGGGGAAAACGAGCCGGGGACGAGTCCGGCGGAGGGAACACGGGGCCGTAGACTGGAAGAGGAGGAGACGGCAGGAGAGGAACAGGCGCAGGGTCAGTGGACGGAAGGCCGAGCAGACGAAGGGCGGACACTGGCAGGGACTGCTGCTGCTGCGACACAACACCAACACCAGGGCCGCAAGCTGCGCGACGGCTACCTCCCGAACCCTCCACGCCGGCACCCCCAGAAGGGACACCCCCAGAGCCCGAAACCCCGCCAGCGCCGGTACCACCCCCAGTCCCGCCGGGAGAAGCCACGAGAGGAGCCCCGGGACGAGTACCCACCTCAACTCTAGCAACCCCAGAGTCCACGAACGGCGGCAGCGACGACAGCGGCGGCGGCGGCGGCTTCGGCGGCAACAACTGCTGCGACGGCGGCGGCGGCGGAGACGACAGCTGCCGCAGCTGTGGCGACGGCGGCTGCGGAGGCGGTGGAGGTGGAGACAGCGGGGGAGGGACTGGCGGCGAGGACTGCGCCGGGGGACTACCAGAGTCAGAAGACTCCTCGACCGGGACGACCGACGGGAGGGGGGTGACGTGGGACACACCAGAGGGGGCCGGACGAGGGGGAGGGGGGGGGGAGGGGCAGGGACCACCAGGGAGGGAGGAACCAGGAACAGGGGGGGAGTAACCGGGGGACCACGGTGGGGAAAGCGGCGGTAGAAGGAGACGGACTCGTCAAAGGTGACGTCGCGAGAGTGAAAGAAACGGTGAGACGGCGGGTGGTAGAAGTGCCAGTCAGATGCGTCAAGGGGGTGCGGCCACAGGTTAAGCTGGTGAGCAGCGTAGCGCATGGCGAACGGCCACAGAAAATGGGGTGCACCGGCATGGAACATGGAGGTGCGAGCCACCTCCATGACCAAACCGATGCGTCGCTTAGCGACCCCATTCTGCTGCGGGGAGTCCAGCAGGGTAAACGTCTGGGTGATGCCCTCCGCACGACAGAAGCGACCGAGGACACCGGAGGCAAACTCGCCACCACGGTCGGAGTGAAGACGCAAGACAGGGAGACCGCGGTGGACACGAGCAGAGACAAGCCAGGGGATGAGAGCGTCAGACACGTCGGCCTTCCGCTCCAGGGGAAAGACAGTGGTGTAGCGCGTGAAGTCGTCGACAAGCACGAGGAAGAAGCGCTCGCGACGCGGCCCATGGACGGGGGTGGGGCCCCAGACGTCCATGTGTAGAGTCTGCAGTGATGCGACGGTAGGGGGAAACGAGGAGGAGTGAGGGGCACGGCGAAGCCGGCCCTCGACGCAAGGCGTAAAAGGTGGGGCGGGGGAGGAGGGAAACTCGGGGAACGAACCGGGGAGACCAAGGACGAGACCGTGCTGGGACATGTGACGCAGACGCGGGAGCGCAGGGTGACCAAGGCGGTGGTGCCAAAGGAGTGTCGGGTGAGTGAGGGACCGACAGGAGCAAGCAGCAGCAACCTAAGTAGACGCAGCCACCTGGGGGGACGTCCCAGCCGGGGAAGTCACGGTGTCAAGTGTGAACAGGCCTGACACCGGGTCCCAGGGGAACGTGGTAAGGGGGGCACCAGTGGCGGCCTCGGTATAGACAGCATACCGCTCGTGCCCAGGGAACGTAGTGGTGACGCCAAGGTCCTGGAGGCAGCCGACACCAACTAGGTTCCTGGAGAACAAGGGGATATGCAGGCCTGTGAGCGAACCCGAAGGAACCGCCGGACAGTGAAGGGAGGTGGAACTGCGGGCTACGACCGGACCACCGGAGGGGTCAGCAAGAGAAACGGCAGCAGGAACAGGAAGCGGTGTCAGCGTAGTGGAGTCGCGGAAGAAACACCGGGAAGTGCCAGAGTCCACGGTGAAGGAAAGTGCAGCAGTGGCGCGTGGCGGCGGAGAAGCGGTGGAAGCACCGAGGCTACACAAAGCAGGGGATCCTACGCCTGACGCAGCACGGGAGTCTACGCTAGGCACACCTACACTAGGCAACACGGGGTAATAAGAAGGAAGCACACTAGAGTCATCAGCATACATCACATGCAGGGCGGCTACAATGGCATCCATGTCGAAGTCAAAAATTTGAATACTACGCCTAAGCAAACTGTGCCAGTCCGGGAGGTCAGGCGACGGGCCAAAGCGCTGACGGAACAGGTCGTCCAGGCGACGAAAACAACGAGGGGTGGAATGACCGATCTTACCGCAAACGAAGCCGCGGCGCGGACCGGTC